TGCACATTATAGTATATACGTTGTTCCTTTTTACTGCTGAATAGTATTCTGAAATATGTGTGTGCCACATTTACCAGCAGGTGGATATTTGGGCTGCTCCACTTTTTGCCTTTTATGAATAATACTGCTATGGATATCTGCATCCAAGTCTTTGTGTGGTCATGTTTTTTCTTGGGCTGACTGGTAAATAAGAAATCGTCACTGTTTTCCTAAGTGGATACGCCATGTCACATTCCTGCTAGCAATATACAAGCACCTATGTCTCCAATCTCACCATACTTTTTGTCTTCTTCATTTTAGTCATTTTGGTGGGTAACACTAATTTGCAGCATTGTTTTGTTTGCAGTGGTATTGTTTTAATTTGCATTTCTCTGGCAACCAATTAAGCTGAACACACCTTCACATCATTGAGTACCTCAACATTATCTTTTGTGGAATTATGTTCAGAATCTCTTGTACACTTTTTTTTTTTTTAATTGGGTTGTTTGTCTACTGATTTGTATAAGTTCGTTACATCTTCTGGGCAGATCTTTTGTGAATATATACAATATAAATCTCTTCCATTCTGTGGCTTTTCATTTTTGTAGAGTTGTCTTGGATGAATTAAAAAAAAAATCAGCTTTTTTTTTTTTAAACAGCTAAAGCTTAATGTTCTGTTTAAGAAATCTATGTGCACTGAGTTCATGAAGTTACTATTTTCTTTTCAAAATGCTAGTTTTATAAATGAGATTACAGTCCATCTGGTATGTTTTTGTATAATGCAAGATTCACCCTATTTTCCAGTTTCCAATATAACTTATTGAACAGGTCATCTTTTCCTTCATTTTACTGCAGCCCATCTTAGTCATATATGAGGTGACTAAGCATTGCTCTGATTCTGAACTTTTGATTGTTTTTTATTTATGTCTTTGTGCCAATATCATAGTATCAAACCACCATGGCAGCTAATAATTCTTGGAATCTGGTAGCCTGAAACTCCCAGGGTTGTTTTTCTTCTTCAAGATTGCCTTGTTTCTGGCTCTTTGTATGTATACAAGTTTAGAATTAACTTTCCAAGTCCCACAAACTATTTGCTTAGGTCACATGAAACCTACTGACCTCTATATAATACTGAATTTTCTAATACATTAACTTGGCATAATCTGATATTTATTTCAGCCTACTTTAAATTTTCTTCCATTATTTTTGCAGTTTTCCACAGAAAGACCTCATATTTTTTATTTCATTCGATTGTTTCTATTATGTATTTATGTTTTAAGTTAAAATTTTAACATTAAAAATCAAATGTATGCATCCACATCAACAAATAGTCCTGTCAAAGTGTACACTCTTCTCAATCTCTTCCTTCTCAAAAACTTTCCTTCTTTTAGCAGATTATCTTCATGTCACTAAGTTTCTTCTTGATTTTTTAAAAGAAATTTCTTCTTATCTAGCTGAAAAAATTTTTTTTTCTTTGCCCAACATCTCCTCCATACCATCCTGAGTCCCTGGTAACCACCATTCTCTCTACTGAGTTCAACTTCACAGTTCAAGTCTACTGAGTTAGACTTCACACAGAAGTGAGATCACGTGGTATGTGTTTTCCTGTGTCTGGCTTATTTTGTTTAGTGTAATGTTCTTCAGGTTTAGTCATGTTGTAAATGACAATTTCCTTCCTTTTTAAAGGCTGAATAATATTGCAACAAGTGTATTACCATTTTTTAAAAAATCTACTTATCTGTTGATGAACACTGAGGTTGATTCCACATATTCAGGCTAGGGTAAATTGTGCAGCGAACATGGATGGGAGTGCAGATATCTATTTGACATACTAATTTTATTTCATCTGGACATATACCTTTATAATAGAATTGCTGAATCATACCATTTTAAATTCTTCCAGAAACTTTCATACTGTTTTCTATAATGGTTGTACCAACTTATATTGCTACCAACAGTGTGTAAGGATTTCCTTTTCTGTAAATCCTCACCATAACTTATTTTTGTTTTTTTGATAAAAAGCATCAGGTATCAGGTGATAATCTCACTGTGGTTTTAATTTGTATTTCAATGATTAGTGATGATGTTGAACATTTTTCATATATACTCCTCAATTTATGATAGGGTTATGGCCCGACAAGCCCATTGTATGTTGGAAATATTTTAAGTTGAAAATGCATTTAATGTACCCAATTTATTGAATATCATAGCTTAGACCACCCTAACTTAAACATGTCCAGAATGTTTACATTAGCCTACAATTGGGTAAAATCATATAACACAAAGCCTATTTTATAATAATGTGTTAAATAGTTCATTCAATTTATTGAATACTGTACTGAAAATGACAGAATGGTGGTATGAATGCATTTTTACATCACTGTAAGGTCAAAAAATTGTAAGTTGAATCATAATAAACTGGGGATTACCTGTACCTGTTGGACATTTATATACCTTCTTTCAGAAATGTTCACTCAGGTCCTTTGCCTTGAATTGTGCCATTTTGATTGTTTTTGTTGTTGTTACTAAGTTTCTTGTATATTTTTTATATTAACCTTTTATCAGATGTATAGTTTGCAAGTATTTGTCTCGTTACTCTTATTTGTTTCGTTTTGCAGAGAATTTTTAGTTTGAAATAATCCCTTAATTTTAAAAGTATTATCTACTGATTTCCCATTGTGGAAAATGAGGATCCTGATAACTTTTCTACTTCATTTGCACAACACCATGTCCTCTTCCAATATAGTTATGTTGCCATTTGATTAGATTGACATTCACTGTTAACATTATGCCATTTAACCAGCAATCATAGTTTAGTTTTTCTTTTCTGCACATTTTGCTTTCCTGGAGTTAAGAATTGCCAATTATTGAATTTAAATCTTAAAAATAAAAATTTGCTTCAAATAAAAATCATCACTAACTAAATCCTGGGGTCTTGCACAAATATTCACCTGCATCTGATTTCAGCCAGAGAGGCAGTAGACAGTCCATGGGAGCTCAAACTCACACTCAGCTTTTGGCCTCAGCACTGTCTCTGACATTTAAGGAGCTTACATGGCCCATGTGCAAACTGCCCCTATTCAAGGAGGTAATGGCCTTGACATTATAGGTCAGTGAGGAGTAAGTCTGTAGATAAATGCCTGAGCCACTTTTCTTTCAGGAGATAATTCTGGGAGCTATCATATAGCTTCTTAGAGGCGACATGGTAGAATCAAGTTCCCACTGTTTACACAGTAGTTAAGAATGCACACCCTTACATCAACTTTTCTCCCTCTTCCATTAAAGTATCACAAGTACCAGGGGCTGGAGTTGTGGCTCAGTGGTAGAACACTTGCCTGGTATGTGTGAGGCACTGGGTTTAATTCTTGGCACCACATATAAATAAATGAATAAAATAAAGGTCCATCATCAACAACAACAACAAAAGAAGTATCATAGTCCCCACTCATATTTTCTGGGATCTCTAAAATAAACTATCTTATCTATGTTCTTGTCTCAGGCTTTGTTTTAGGAGGAACTTCTCACTCTGCTGGTTGTCCAACTTAAGATACTAAGAACCCTCAGGTATTTTATTAATCTTTCTGAAAAAGTATCTCCAGAGCTTTCTGATATGCTTCAATATAGTCTCCTTGGAAATCCATCACCATCATTTGGGAATTTCCTTCATCTCAAATCTCTATTGAATCCTGTTTTCTGCAATTTACATCTTCATATTGCTTGGTTTATGCCCTTGTTTTTATGAAGCACAAACTCTAGTAGCCTCTTGAGAAAGCGTATATCTTTTGGGAACTCATATTACTAAAGCTGTCTTCATTTTTTTCCTTATTTACAGGAAGACACAGAATTTTTTAGAAGTTTAAAGGCATTGCTTCTGTTGAAATTTGAAGCTAATGTGATTCTTAATCCTTGGTAGGTGACCTGCCCATTTTCTCTGGAAATGTAAGGAGCTCTTCTCTTGACCAGTTGAAATTTCATCACGACGTATTTTGGTATAGGTATTTTTCATTCACTGTGCTTTTTCATTCTAGAATCTGATGTTCTTTAGTACTGGAAAATTTTCTTAAAATATGCTACTGATTTCTTCTGTTTATTCTTTCTTTTTGGAACTCTGAGAGACTGGACATTGGATTTCCTGGGCTGTTAATTTACTTAAATCTTATTTTTCAGCATTTCTTTCTGTGGAGTGTACTAGGGATTGAATCCAGAGATGCTTTACCACTGAGCCCCTGGGTTCAGCCCCAGCCTTTTTTTTTTAATTTTATTTGGAGACAGGGACTTGCTGAGTTGCTTAGGGCTTTGCTAAGTTGATGAGGCTGGCTTTGAATGCATTATCCTCCTGCCTCAGCCTCCAGAGCCACTGGAATTACAGGTGTGCAGCACCATGCCCGGCCAGGATTTCTCATTTATTATTTTTTATTTTCTGAGAAAATTTCCTCAACTTTATATTCTAAAGCTTCTAATTGAATTATTCATATTATTTTCCAGGAGATCTTTTTGTTTTCTGAAGAATTCTGCCCTGGATTGATGGTTGCAACATCTTTCTGAAGATATTTTTTGTCTTTTGACATTTCTCCCATCCTGAGTCTCCCGGTGGTTGTTTCTTTCTTTCATAGAGAAGCTTTCCTCAGATTTCTTTTAATTCTTAGTTGGTCATTCATTTTTAATAGCACAGACTGACTACAAGTTCTGGAGGCATGGTGGGCACACCAACCATGATATTCACTGTGTTGTTACCTCACTGAGCAGTTTAGCAAGGATGTCTTTGATGCCAGGATCTTATTCAGGCCTTTTCACTTGCACTGATCAGATTCACAAAGAATATTCTTCCACTAATACTAGGTTGGCTGCCAGAATTCAGTGAGAAAAGGAGGATGCTGGATCTTTGTATCCATTCATGTCAATTTTCCCTGTTTAGAGAATGGTCCCCCCTGCCATCCACTGTATCCAGTATCCATCAGTCTAGAAGACCCAATAAACATATCCCAAATACATAGCCATTCTTACTGATATCACAGCATATGTGCATTTTTAAAGAACAAATACTTTATATTTCACTTGTAAAACATTTTATTGTTTACATATAGCCTAGTGAAATGAACAGAGTCAGAAGACTCATAGTCTGGCTCAACAACTAACTTGTATGAACTTGATAAAGTTGCTTAACCTTGCTAAATCTTATTTCCTCACTTGAAAAACAGTAATGATACTATTTATTTTACAGAACAGCTGAAGACTGAATGAGATAGTTATATTGTTTTCCTCTCAAGTAACTGGTCAGAATAATTCTACCGTTTGCTACTACTTAATCCTTGTTCATCATCTCAATGCTAATTATTCTTAATAAATGCATTAAGACAACAGGTATCAATGTAATACTTTAATTTTGCATACTAACATTACCAAAGAAAAACAAACTAAATTATAGCCCTATTCTTTATTTTTAGAATACTGTTTTTTATAATAGTTATTCATACTATCCCATCAGAAATCCAATTTCATTATTTTTTTTTTCTTAAACCTACTCAAAAAGTAAACAAATTACTTTTTTACATATGTGACAACCCCAAGATTACATGTGTAATTGCTTTACAGCTCTCCTTCTGGAATAGTATAAGTAAAATATATAACATGGGTAGTTAAATACTTTTCTCCCCCTACATTAGGGATGATAATATGTATGAAGATTAATTTCTTATGATTTATCCCTAATGAAAAAAAAGTCACAGGTATATTATACTGTTTGTCAAGAATACATACATATAGTAGCCATACCTGACATACACACCCTTCTAAGAATATTTCAACCATCATCATTATTTTCTTAATGACCCCTTATATAAGTATTTGTTGTTGAGAACACAAAACTCCCTTTTAAGGCATTCTGCATGAAATTGTATTAAGAAATACTTTTGTTAAATGACACTGCATATGTGTTGAACCCCCAAACACATTGCCTTTAGCCCTTAAAGTACTACTCTAAAAGGTAAACAAAAATTTTTTACATTATAAAAAAAATCTAAGCTGCTCTGCAACCTTTTTTTGCTAAAAGTTAGATACATTACACCAACCACTCCAGGAAGAGATTAATAAATAAGGATTAAATATTCTATTTTACAAAAACATACAGAATGGCCAATGTATAAGTGAAAGGTTTGTTTGATAATTTCTTTATCAAAGTATGTTCATTAATAAAGAATAAAACATGGTATAAAATGATAAAATGGTCACTAAATTGAAGATAATCACATGAGTTATCTAAAAATACCATGGCACCCTTGTTACAAACATTATTATTATTATTTTTTTAAAAAAGACTGTGTTTCCTGGAACTAGAGGACTATTTGTCTCATAGCTTTTATTAAGCAAACTTGATGTAACCACCACATAGTGGCAAGAGATAGACTAGCTGTTTCCAGCTACAGAAAATATTGAATTCTACCCTAACGTACAGAACATTTGTGATATAACCCATAACAGGTAAAGTAAATCATAGTGCAGTCTGTATTGAATTTCCTTAAAATATTTTTGCTTTCAATGGAGTATGTTCATTTCCCTGTCATTTGAGATCAGTTTTTGGTGCTTAGTAACTATTTTCATGTCCAGCCAAGATGTAGAGATTGCTGTGTGCCGTAGGATTTTCTGTTGGCCTACTTTCCAAAACGACAACCCTGAAATTAAACCAAAACAAAAGGCTTGTTTAAAAGTAAAAACAGGTTGCATGCTTCAAATACTAACCTCAAACCAGGAAAGAATGTCAATTGTTCATGTTCTTATAAAATTACATAGAGATCATTGATGCACAATTCATATTTACATGTTATAGCTAAAAAACATACCTGAAAAAGAACTGATGAGTATAAAATATCAAAATATTTTGATATTTGATCATTATCTTATTTCAACTAAAAACAAATTTACCTACTCATAAACACCAACAATAGTAATAACAATGCTTTAGGAATTTATATTAACAATGCTTTAGGACAAAAGAAGGTAGAAGAGCTGAGAAAATAAAACGGGATCCTAGGAGAACTTCATCCAAACTGTTCTTCAAGGTATTTGAAAACAAATAGTTTTAAACTAAATATGAAATGAGACACCCCGCCCCACCCCCATGTCCAAAAGCAGGGAAAGAGTCAATCAATCACCAAGAGGAAGAAAAATAAATCAATCAACTGTGGATTTGGAATAATATAAAAAAATAATAGCTGGACATGGGTGGTGCATGCTTGTAATCCCAGTGGCTCTGCAGGCTGAGGTAGGAGGATTATGAGTTCAAAGTCAGCAAATTAGCAAGGCCCTAAGCAATTGCACAAGACACTGTCTCTATTTTAAAAAAGGAGGGGGGGGGGCAGGGACAGATGTGGCTTAGTGGTAGAGAGTTTGCCTAGTATGTAGAAAGCCCTGGGTTCAATTCCCAGTACCACAAAAAAGGATGGGCTGCGGTGCTGGGGATGTGGCTCAGTGGTTAAGCACCCTCCGGACCCAGAAAAAAAAAATTTTTACATAGGTTCTCCCCCACCCAGCACAGACACAGATATCTATATTTAAATAATAAAATAAATGTTTAACTACTATTAAAATTAGAGGACAAAATAAACACTTTGGGATTTAATGAGTAAGATATTGATGTAAAATCAAGGAGATGCCCAAATAAGTACATGACAAGTAGGGCAGTGATCTATAAACAGTAGTGTTTTAGAGCAAGTAGTAAGACAATAAGACTAAGAGGGTAACAGGGTAAAAACTCTGGGTAGAGGACTCGGAGCAAAACACATTACTGAGAGGAATGGTTTCTGACACAAAACTTCTGTCAAGCAGAATTCTTTCACGCTAGATCTCATTAAAGCGTTATTTCCACATATAGTGGATGATCCACAACTCATTTGTCAGCCTTTCCTGCAAGAAGTAAAGAGCCTCCCATTCTAGTTCTAGAGCCATTTACTAGGTGGTTCTCAAACTCATTCCCATGCTGCCCCCCTTTTTTGCTGGCCTACTCCTAGGTTTCTGTGCTGTGTGCTTACCTTTTCTGCTAAGGCAGGCCTCATCATTTTTCAAAAGGTCCTTTCTCTCTTTACAAAACTCTTCCAATCTTTTATAGCATAACTTTATCCCTTCACCCCGAGCTTCCTCAAGCATCTAATATTTAAGCAATGATAGTGTGAACCTGAAGACCAGAGGTCTTCCAACCATTCCAAAGACCTAATGCATAATACCATAGCCAACTGTGCTGGAGTAACAACGTTTGGTAGCAAAATTGAAAGAAATGAATATTTTATTTGATACAGAGGATGATAATATATTTTGGAGAACAAAAGCTATCTTTTTTTTTTTTTTTTGCCAATTCTCATATTATTTTTTTCATAAGATAACACAGTTTGGGTAGGCTGGGGTTGTGACTCAGAGGTAGAGTGCTCGCCTAGCATGCGTGAGGCACTGGGTTCAATCCTCAGCACCACAAAAAATTATTTTATTAAAGATATTGTGTCACCTATAATTAAAAAATATTTTTTAAAAAAGATAACACAGTTTGGGGATTTTTATTTGGTTTACAAAAAGACTACATACTCCTTTGCAATTTAAATTGACCCCCAAAACTGAGTTGAACATTTTCTGATATAAAAGCAAATATCAGGAGGTCCATATTTATAATAGTTGATAGTAGACAATACACCAGGAGAAATTATAAAAATGAAGGGTTCTGAAATATCTGTCATGATTCTAGAGACATAAACACCTATATTTACACATTTTGTCTTGGTTGAATATAACTCTGGAATCATGATCTTCACACTGAAATAAGATTGCTAAATTGAATTACTAAATATTATTCACTCTCAATAAATTATGGAAAAAATTCTTTCAATTGAAGAGCCCTCTAAGAATTTTGACTGAAACACAATTCAGACTGACAGTATAATTGAGAGTATAATCTTTGCACTCTTTGGTAAATTAATATAAACAATTACCTGTCTGATCCTAATAAGCGGAAAACTCTGGTTTCATCTGAAATCTCCTGGGTAACCTAAAAAGAAAACACCTATCAGTTACAACCTGGGCTCCCATATTGCTTAAATAATAATTTAAAACTCATTCAGATAGAGCAATTATTAAACAGAATGAATAATTTTTGAAAGGCTCAATTCCTCAAATGAAAAAAGTTTCAGGAAGTTTCTTTTTTGACTATTAGTAGAAATGAATCAACATTTATGGAATGTCAGGCATTTTCCTTAGAACTCTGTGTGATATGCACTATAATTCTCATATTATTAAAGAAGAACCTAAGACTCGGAGAGGTTGAGTAACTTGCTCAAGGTTACATAACCAATAGAAGATTTGCCCTTTCTTTTATTTCTGAGATGGAGATGTCTGCATGGGCATCCTGTGGCCCACCTGATTTCAGCATAGTTTGGTGGATGCTTTCAAGCACCAGTGTCTCACATTGGTGTATACCACAGGGTTCTTCTCTCCTTTCTCCAATGCTGCAGAAGGCTCTTGGCTATGCATCAGTATTATCTCTAAGTATGGAAAGTTTTGGGGCAACCCTTAACCAGGAAGGAACAGCAGTTGGTGCATAAATGCTCCAACCTCCCCACTTCTAAATAAGTCAGTTCTGAGGTACATTCTATAGTATTCATTAGTGGTCCTTCCAGGATTAAGGCCTGGTTGTCCATGATGGGAACTAGGTTGTTAATATGCTTTTGTTGACTTTTTACACTTACGCATTTTACATTCCTCATTTGACTTTTTACACTTATGCATTTTACATTCCTCATTCCATCAGCAGTTTTCTGGACTCTATTCCAAAATAAATTACCTCCACTTGAGACTTTTATCTTAGCTCTGCATTTAGAGGAATCTAAACTAAGACAGTATGAATGTAAAGTTAAGTATAAAGACAGTCTGTTAACAAGGCATGCACAATCTAGCTGGGAAGGCAGAATTAATAAATGTAAGTCAGAAACAAGTTTGATGCTATACTAGACGGAGATGATTTCCAAGATATTAAATATTCTAATCATTGTGGACTATAATGGATGAATACCAATACTATTTTGTGAAAGAAGACTTCAGCTAGATCCATGTTAAAGGGTGAGAATACAAACAGAAAGAAAGAAATGTATTAAAAATAGGTAACTAGGGAGATGGAGGTATAATTAAATTGTAGAGCACTTGGTTATTAGCAGGTGGGAGGCCTTGGGTTTGATGCCCAGAAACACACACACACACACACACACACACACACACACAAACAGAAAACAGAATTTTGAATTTGATATGGTGAGAAACAGGTTCTCTTTTGTGATTTCTAATCATAAGAATGACATAATGAAAATAGCATTTAAGAATAATTAACCTTATGACAATAAGTGAGACTGTAGATTTCATCAAGTGCAGGGACCAGGTGACATTTAGTGACATGGGTCAATAACAGATGAGCTGATATATTCAGACAGTTGACTTTTGTCATTTTTCTCATGGAAGCATTCTAATTCTGCCTATATGTAAGAGGCAGAACTATTTATTTACTTATGAATAAGAATATGAATAAAACTGAATCAAACAGAAGACTCTGAGCTTTCAGGTAAATCCACAAATTTGTGAGGCCATGGTGTAGACAGGCACAAACGGGAAGAGTCTTCTATAGCAGGATTCATCTTTCAAGGTAAGATCCCAAATCCTACCTCCTGTATGAAATATCTCCTGATTATCTCAGCTAGAAGTGACATTTGGAAACCCTTCAAATCCAGGCTCTGCCATTTAACTAGCTAAGTAAATTTGAATAAGTTACTTTACCATTATGTACTTGTAAAAATGGGAATATAAATAGTATCTATCCATTGGATTATTCTGAGCCTTCTATGAATTAATATTTGTAATGTGCCTGGAATATCATAAGTGTTATTCATTATTTACAATAATAGTGTCTTCAATGTAGTTGGTACTTCATACTAAATGAGTATGATCTTAAGATTTTCCTCTGTCCTTTGATCCAATTCATATTCTTTATACTTTTAAATATAATATTTAAAAAGGAGCTATATATTTATAGATTATGGGAAGTATAATTACAGATTAGATGAATAAAATTACATAAACTTATATTTTGCAATTCATAGGGGCCTCTGAGAATTTTAAAATACAAAAATTAACATATTTGAGGACAGATTACAAATTTTTGCTCCACCAGTTCATAGCATTAAGGCATTAAACTGTTATGTAGGTTCAGAGAGAAAACACATAAAATGAACATTTCAACATTTAAAATCTTTAGTTGGAGTTGGCAGAGGTAAACTGAGAAAATGTACCTCATCTGACTTGAAGCTTTTACCCTGCATCCCATGTTTCCAGAAAGCCAGCACACTGTCTTGAAGGCATACTAAAAGAGATAAGGGAGAAATGAAATTAAAATAAAGCACACAGCATTTCACCATATACTTCCCTTAACTGTTTTTAATAAATGATAATGTAAGGCTATTCAAATGCTTAGGGCAAAATTCCACTGTCTAGACCATTATTTCTCAACATTTTTGTGGCTAAGACATGTCTAAACTCAAATAATTTATTGGAGGAAGGTTATATAAGTTTTCAAGAATATATGTAATAGGCATTCCTTTAAACCTGGGCTAACTTCTGATAAGCTTCTATAGGCATATTAATTTCTCTTCCATATATTGTATCTTTGAATTAAGTGAATAATAAAAACAAAGAATGGGCTTTGGATAAAAATGGTTATCCAAATAGTCATTAAGCATCTTCTGTTCTATAGTTCAAAATTTAATCACATTAAATATTTATGATCTAAGTTTATTCTTCTATAAAATTCTTAGTATTTAATCAAGTATTATAATGTAGGTATTAGAGATAATTAAGTAGAATTAGAAAAACATAAATATAAATAAAGATGATGAGGAAAGTGACTGAAAATTACTTGTATTGGTTATTAGACTACTAAGTACAAACTACATATGAAAAAACTGAGAAACCAGTATGTCTTAAATAAAATAAAAAGGAGCTAAGGATCTATTTGTTAGATTCTCTCTTAAAAATGTTAAATTTTAGAAACTGGTATTTAATACCCAGTACATAAAGGAGTAAGAGAAGAAATAATTTTCTAAAGTTCCTTCTGTTCTAGCATCTAGTTAGCCAATAATTTATCTGGATTCAAGAAAGTTTAGGTTTTCTGCTTCAATAATTTAAATTTCCCAATCACAGGTAAAATATTTTCTGTCAGATGTTAATAGAGGCATAAACATATTTTGTTTTCTTTTGGTGCCAGGGAGTGAACCCAGGGCTTTCTCTGCTCAGTCACTGAGCTATAATATCAGTCCCTTATATTGTGACAGAGCTAAACTCTGTATATTGTGACATACCAAACTCCAGTTTAGTATGAAAATCTCATATTAAGGGAATTTAAAAACAAACAAGTAAGCAAGCAAGCAAGCAAACAAACAAAATCTGGTAAGTAGCCAAAAACGTATTTTTAAAAGTACATGCTTATAATTATAAAATGCATAAATTTTGTATGGCCTAAATAAAAAATGACAACTTTAATACTTTCTGTGATTTACAGCAGAATCCTATCATCAATTACTCAAAATGTAGTCATAATATTTTTCTCACAAGTTCTACCACTCCTAAGGTAAATACTTAACTCTGTAAAAATCAAGGAGAATGCAAGTAATGATAAATTATAATAATTTTTAAAAATCATAAAACCAATGAATAAGTCAGGTAACATGGCGCACACCTATAATCCCAGCAATGTGGGAGGCTGAGGTAGGAGGATTGCAAGTTTGAAGCCAGCCTCAGCAACTTAGCTAGACTCTCAGCAACTTAGTAAGATCCTTTCTTAAAATAAAAAAAAAGAACTGGAAATGTAGCTCAGTGGGAGGGTGCCTCTGAGTTCAATATCCAGTACCAAACAAGAACAACAAAGTACACAAAACAAACAAAAAATGACAAAAAAATAATATGACAAAAAACAAATGACAAATAATAATACAGTAAAAGCACTCTTGGACAAGGAAGCAAATTAAAATGTGGGAAACTTGCTATTTATATATAAACAGACCTAAGAGCAATAGCCATCTACATACTCCAACCATGGCATATCTAACACTGCTATCATATTACATAAATAAAACTTCTTGCTTTGGAGATAATTGGGAGAAGTATAATTCACTTGGTGCAGCAATGGGAATAATGAACAAAAAATTTAAAAATAGTTTCAAGTTTTAAATATTCAGGATACAACAATATGGTCTAGACCTTTAGTGTACAATAAGACACTTTTACTGTACAATAAGACAGCTACTGGTCATATGAAGCTACTTACATTAAAATTTAATTTTAGAAGTTTAAAGTAATATAGCACTAGCCAAGTTTCATGTACTTACTAGCCACATGAATTTTCATCATCACAGAAATTTCTACAAGACAGTGGTACTTAGACAACTCTAAGTACAGAATAAAAAGAAACAAAACAAAAACCCAATTATTCCAAACACAATAATGAAAAAAGGGAAACTTACCTACAGATTCAATGCGAAAATCAAAACTTAGCTCAGAGGCTAGTTTCTTACTTGATTTTAGTTTTCCTTGTAGATTTACAATTTTTACATATTCTTAAAAAAATAAAAAAGTCAATTAGAAATGTAAATTTCCTAAAATAAATGTAATAATACATGGATTTTATCTGGGTATCAAATAATATTCTTATCAATGCTAATAATTAATCTGGATTCAAGTATGCCCTGTGAAATATGTTTTAAAAGATATAACAGTATGTGTATCCTTTGTTAGATGGCAATACTGGTACTATAATTTCTTTTTTTACGCTAGTATATGCCAAACACTGACATTCTCACCATTTTTTTTGGAGGGGAGGGGGGTTGTACTGGTGATTGAACTCAGGGGCACTCGATCACTGAGCCACATCCCCAGCCCTATTTGTATTTTATTTAGAAGCAGGGTCTCACTGAGTTGCTTAGCACTTTGCTTTTGCTGAGGCTGGCTTTGAACTCAGGATCTTCCTGTCTCAGCCTCCCAAGTCATATTCTCACTTTTTAAAAGTGTTTTCTTCTTTAAAAGTTGCTACTTTGGTATCAAAATATTTAACAATTTTTTCCCCTTTTAAATTACATAACATATGGTAAGAAAGACATGCAGTAAAATTCATAACTTTGCTGTATGAGTCCTGTTCTACCAACATAGACAGGGCAAGAAACAGTACTCTGAAGGTAGTAAACTAATTCTCTTTCCTTTTTTAGCTATTTGTTTTTTAATTTCATTGTCTTAGCTCTGACTCAGAAGATAATCTTTTCTCTGTACTACTTTTTCATCTGTCTACTATCATGATTAGAAATTACAGGCCTACCTCTACTGCTTTCTATCCAAACTGACTTATAAATGGTATAGCTGACAACAAATTTTTCAAGTCTTCCTCTACCACTTTAATAAACAGAAAGCTCAAGAAAGTTACTTTCCAGTTACCTTAGTTCATTGGAAATCAAGGCCTAGTTAGTCCATTTTTTAAAAAAAATTATAAAAATATGTCACCAAAACAAACACCAAGCAAAATTTATCTTCCTTTGATGACTCACAAAGTTATTTAGAAATTTAACACTAAAGGTTCAGAAACACTAAATTCTGGTTATTTCATTATTTAGCTAATACCAAACTTTCTATTTGATTGGATAAAAAAGTATTGATCAAATATACTTACAAGTAAATGAATAACACTCAAATTTTATCAGTATTCAGAGAATCAAGTTCCTAACAAAGGGATGATGGAGAATGAAACACTATAGATTTTAGTTGACTTTTCTATGATATTTAGATGATCTTTATGATTCTAGAAAGTAAGTCCACTAGGGAATCCTTCGGAGCGCAGGGATTATAACAGGAAAACAGGAAAAATCAGTTACAGAATAATCTGTAAAATAACTTTGACTACCTATAGGTAAGTCTACCCATTAAAAACAAATTGGAATGAACCAATTGTAGAAAACACTGCCAAATTTCAAATATAATTCTAGTAGTGGGATTCCACCTTGTAGGATTCACTGTGTGAAAATACGGTGGGTTTTTAAGAATTAATGTTTCATTTGCAAAATCAAAATAATACTTGCAGCTAAAGTTTTTTCTATCTTTACTGTATAATACAACATATTTCTATCAATAACACTTCTCCCTGCATCAAAGAATCACAGTTAGCAAGTGGAGATGTCAAATGGAGTCTTGGCTCCAAGACTTTATAGTACTGTAACCTTCTATTTTGCATTAAGAGACATGAGATAGAATAGTTGATTCAGAATTTTATCCCAAGTATGGCAAACAGTTCTAGTCTAATGTCTCCATGCAGGTCCAATATAAAATAAAATAAAATAAAATGACAGGATAGCACTGATAAACTTATAAATATTTTGAATTACATTTTCATAGAATCATTTCCAATAAAAGACCTGTTTTATCAAGTAGCATATGCAAGATAAACTTTAAAATAGTACTTACTGTCTAAACACACTAGTACAGTGTCTCTTTCCAACTGTGTCACATGGATGGAATCTAACTGTTGACTGCCTAAGGGAGAGAAAAGGTTACAGTTATACAATAGGCTTTAACAAACAAGAGATCAGGAAATAAACACAAGTCTGAATTTTGCTATGATTTAATTTAATCTTTGAAATTCAACACATAAATTACATTTTTGTCATGTTATCTTTCAAAAACGTATAAATCAGTTTAGGCAACAAAACATAAGATAACATGGATAACTGAACTGAGAAAAAACTCAGTATTACTTTTAAAAAATGTTTTTTAGTTGTAGATAAACACAATACCTTTATTTTATTTATTTATTTTTATATTGTGCTGAAGATTGAACCAAGTGTCTCATGCATGCTAGGCAAGTGCTCGATCACTGAGCTACAACCCCAGCCCCTCAGTATTACTTTTTTTTTCCCAATATTTTTAGTTGATGGACACGTACCTTTATTTATTTATTTATTTTTATGTGGTGCTGAGGATCGAAACCAGTGCCTCACATGTGCAAAGCAAGAGCTCTACCACCGAGCCATAACCCAGGCCCAGTATTACTTTTAATTAATATCTTGGCTGGTTCTAGAAAGATAAGTCATAAAAATAAAGTGAAGTAAGGAGTTAATATGGGGAGGAAAGTAAAATGCATGACATACATGGACTCTGTGTTTTACAGAGCCAAAGGAAAATAGAAACAAGATCAGTAGGGAAATTGAGCATCCTTGAAATAAAATTAAGCCAGTGACTCAAAAGAACACAAGGATTAATTACTATGATCAGAGAGAAATTTTCCTAGTATTGGAATGTTAATAGGTAAGTGGGATTCCTTTAGAAAGAAGACACTGAGTAGCTATAATGAACAATATCATCAATAATATGTGAGAAGAATACAACTCTTTCTTCACTTTGCTGATACTCAAGGACTGTGTGTCTTTTAAAATTTGGTAATATATGTTGCAAAATATTTTTGGTAAACTATTTTAAGCACTCAACTGCTTGAATGGTCTAGCTGAATCTAAGGAAAGATTTTAGGGCTGGGGATGTGGTTAAGTGGTAGAACATTTGCCTGGCATGTGTGAGGCCCTGAGTTCCCATTCCCAACACTACCAAAAAAAAAAAAAAAAAATTAGTCATTCTTAATTATACCTCTCTGGATAGGCTAAGAATCTTCTCCTTTGAAAACTGCACAAACATAAACACAAAGGTTTACATATTTTGGCATGTTTATGGACCTTTCAAAGGTGACACATTCTGAAGAATCCAGAACTACACAATTGATAAACTGTTTCTCAGACAACACACCCAAAATCATTTTACTCAGTTAATCTATGTTCATGCAATCATTCTACAAATATTTACTGAGTACTGACCATATATATGCTAAGCATCATCCTTGGAGATAAGGATACTGAAATAACAATTACAATAATGAAACTAAGACTGGAAGGGTCTTGGAATAAGATTTTTCCAAGAGGATTTCATTTTAATGTTACAACTATGCCAGTTGAAGGCACTGTTAGCATCTTGATTTAACAATGAACAAAGCTGGAAGTTGGATCAACAATCACCTGTGAGGGCTGGGGTAGAGTACTTGCCTAGCATACATGAGGCACTGGGTTTGATTCTCAGTACCACATATAAATAAATGAATAAAATAAAGGTTCATCAACATGTTAAAGAATATTTAACAATCAAACAAAAAAACCCAATCACCTGTGAAAATACAGAAGCCTATGAAGGACAAAGTGCTGGATCACAAAGGCTGCCTCATCTCTGCTTGAAGGTGTTCTGAATGATACCTGTGGGCAGAATCCTAGCCTTCCTAAGATCTTGGACAATGTAAAAAGTGGGTAGAATAGGACACTTCAGGCATTTAAAAGACAAACAGCAAAACCTTCAAAAGAGTCCTGAACTCAAACCCCCAAATTTAAAATAGAACTCAATGAATTTATCTAACCGTGGGTGATAGAATCTCCTAATATATCACATAGGAGAAAGTGAATGTAAATATACACTAGATAATTGTATGAAATGATCTACTCCACAAAATCAGCACAAAAGAAAAGTTGGGGCTATTGGCTAAAAATTATCTTAGTTTTTTACAGTTTTTGTTGGTTATTATTTATTCATTTATTTTTCTGATTATGTGATTTTTTTAAATGAGTTGACTGAAAGTCCCATTTTGTGGCAGTAACTACATAATAGGGAGATATTTCTTTTTAGGCTGCTTATTTCTCATGATAATAAAGCAATGTCATCGTTTTTATATCTTTCTGTTAGCTATAGCAGGAGGTCACGCATTCTACTCAACTCAAACCATTAAACTAAAAAAGAAAGGTGGGATGTGGGTACAGAGGGAGGATACAGAATGCATTCTTATTTCATTGTACTGGAAATTAAGATTTGGTCCATAAAGAGAGTTCATAGTACAAGACATACTGTAGCTGGTTTGTACTGGGTTGTTAAACTTTCAGGAATTTTGCAAACCACATGACATCAGGCTGGTAGTTTGAAATTGGCTATTAAGGTAGTGTTTATACATGGAAACAGGCAACCACAACAAATGAATGTACCCAAAGACCCTGCTATTAAACATTTACTAGGACATCACTGGTTTGTACTATTTTTTCTTCTCCTTTTTTTCTTTCTCTCTTTTTTAAAATGTGGTGTTAGGGATCAAACTATAGGTGTGTGCCACATGCCCAGCTATACATTCCAATTTTAAGTTTGAGAATATTCTTTCCAATCTTTTCTGAACTTTCACTGAAATGTGTCTGATTAACTCTCAAGCTAAACCCCCATTCTTAGGAAGTACAATGGATAGTTAAATGAAAAAGTTTGAAGGCTACATTTGAGAAGCTACTACTGAAGTCTGAAAGGCACATTGAACAAGTGTGGGGAGAAGACAGGATAAAATCGGACAGAGAAAAAAAGGTAACTCTTTGCTTGAGAAATTGATGAAATTTTAAGAGCAGCTTAGAAAATATAATTATTTATTTAGTAGGCCCAAAGGTTAATTGGTAACAACTCAAATCTTCAAAGTCAGGAATCACTAAAATTTTCCTTGGTAAAATAGTTTATATAAAATTGCCTGTGGCAGATAGAGACCGTAAACTACATATACACAATTCCTTAGTCTTCCTTGGGAAACTATTTTCTGAATTTTTGTTTAAATAGTCTACACTAGCTAACTTAAGTGGTTCTGTTTCTATTACATGCAAAAGCATCACCATTTCAACATAAGGTAAGACACTTACCTGCACCAATTTCGGTAAACCATGAAGATGCAGAATTCAAATTGATTGTCTCAAACTGAACTACTTGATTTGATTCTGTGCCTTTACTAATAGCTACACAGACCATAGGGTATTCCTGTTCTGGTATCACCAGCATTTCAAAAACGTTCAAAGGACTTGGTAAAGGAAAATCAAAGTGCTGAAAAAGATAAAACAATAGAACTATTATTTGAAAACAGTCTCACTTGTCATACTGCTATTGAAAAAAGTCAATGGAAAGGCTTCAATTTTCTTTTCTTTTGGTACTAGGAATTGAACCACTAAGCTACATTTCCAGTTCTTTTTATTTTTCTTTTTAGACAGGGTCTAAGTTGCTGAGAGTCTTGGTACATTGTTGAGCCTGGCCTCAAACTTATGATCCTCCTGCTTTAACCTCCCAAGTGTCTGGGATTACAGACATGTGCCACCATGCATGCTTTCCAATTTTTTTGATTTATGTAGTTCTATAAAGGCCCACCTCTTAAGATGACAATAACAAGGATGAATGTTCTACACAAATGTGTTTCAGAGAATAGATCATGTTAATATTTATGGTTGTGATGGTTCTCTAAGTATATTAAGTAACATAAGTCAAAGAGGAATCTTAAGAACACAAAAACCCCTAAATCAAATATATAAGTACTACTAATTATAAATGTGCTGATCCTAAATAGCAGTAATAGGATTTTATAATTTTAGTTAATTACTAGTATTTTCTAAAGAAAAATGTAAACAAAGTAACATATACCTTTATCAACATGAATTTCTGCATTGGTTCATACCACTGAAGTAAAACAATTCCAGACTGTAAAGCTCCACAGAGGTATTTATGTCCTGTATAAGGATTTCTGACTGGAAAAACAAAACAAAACAAAACAAACAAACAAACAAAAAACAATAAAACCAGATACTCAAGGAACACTGAACACCTTATGTGAAAATATAGTTGAGCTAAAAGCAACAACTGAGCTTTACTCACCTAAAAGCTAACTTAGCTATAAAAAGGCAGTACTGATTCAAGAGGAAAAAATAATGGAATGTGATTCTAAATCACTATCAAAATATGGATGGAAGAAGAAACTATATGAAGTAATTATTTATCTATTAAAATAGTGTTTCTGTTAACTAGGATGACAAGAGGAAACAAAGATGCCTTTTTCTTTTGGTTTTGTTAGCCTTTCCTTTTCATGTTCTATTCTCAATTTTAAATTATATACATTTATTTCTAAAAATTTTTTAACATGCTAGGTTCTTTAGCATAAGAACTTTTTAAGAACACTATTTTCAGCACTAAAACACCTACACTAATATACAATCCAAAAACTACTTCTATGTAAACTAACTAAAAGAATAGTGTGTGACAAGGTCTGAGGACAACTGAAATTTCACTTTTGGCTTTGAGTATGTATACATTAATTCATCTTGCTGGAACATCCTTTTTCAAAACTACAAAAATTCTTATTGGTCTTTCCTTCTCCAACTTGAATCCCATCAACATAACATATATTCATTATAAAAACAGTAATCTTCAGTAAGTTCCACAAGTACTACTCAAGCATGTCTTGGAATATAAGCTTCTAGAGTCTGTTGAGTCACATATGAGAATCTGATTACAGATGCAGACATGATCCCCCAAGGAAGATGATCACAAAATTGCTTATGCAATCATATGCTGCACAACATTTCAGTCAATGATGGGATGCATATACAATGGTGGTCCTATGATTATATTGCCTGGTGACATCTTAGTGTGTGTACATTGACAAAAATCACCTAATGATGAACTTTTCAGAATTAATTTCCATCATTCAATGACTCATAATTATACTTGTAGAACATCTGTGGTTAAATGTTTTTGTTCTAGAAAGTTTGGAAAATGCTTTTGAACTATTACATAGAATGAAGATTCATGTATAAGCTCACTGATCAAACAAGGAATAAATAGAAAATAAGGAGCCTAAGATCTAAAGATACCGGATCCAGACTTGAATCTAGGTTCTATTTCTGTTACTTGCTTGTGATTTTTTTTAGTTTCAAGAGTTAAGTGTTTTAGATAAGATAGTTATGTAGTAAAGAATTTAATCTTGCCCCAAAAGAAGTCTGTTCTCTCTTCTGCTCTTAAGAAATAATTTCCAAATCTTTGGAATGTCATGCTTGATAGGAGTTGTCTTTGTCTGGAAGCCTCAGGTCACTGGATAGTCCAACAGCACTAAGACCAGATAGTCAGTATGAGGGCTGATCATGTCAGAAAGACCAGCAATGTGACTTAAGGTGGGGCTTTAAGTCATGCAGCATGAGTGGACCTCTGGAGGGATTGTATATTGAGATCAGTCATGCGGGAAATCAAACCAGCCTTCATGATGCAATCCCAATAAAAACTCTGGACACTGAGGATTGAATCAGCTTTCCTGATTGGCAATGCTTGAGTGTACAGTCACATAGTGATGGTGGAAAAGTAACAGCATGGTGCCCACTAATCCATAGGGAGAGGATAATAGAAGCTCTATGTTTGGTAACTTTTCTTGTACTCTACCCTGTCTTCTTCTTCTCTGAGTGGATTTTAACTTGTATTCTTTATTTGTAATAACCTGTAATTGTAACCATGAGTATAACTCTTTTCAGGGAGTTCTGAAAATACCTTTAGAGAATTTTTAAATCTGAGGGTACTTCTAAAAACCTACAAACTTATAACTGGTATCAGAAGCAAAGGGTGGTCTTGTGTGGACTCTCATCTCCATACTTGGTAAAATTCCTATAATAACGTTCATAAATAACCAGCAGTAACTAGCAGATAATAAGTGTTAACTAAATGGAAGCTAGGACACTAGAAGAAATGTGGCCTCAGGGACTATGGTTTAAAACATTCTAGGAACACTAGGCTGTGGGAAAACATTAAGGTTATTATCTCTAAGCATTTCTATACTATGTCACTCTATACATTCTTGTGCTTCACTGACAACTTAACTCTTATTAAAAAACCCAATACACCTTCTTATTTTATCTGTAAGATTCTTTAAATAATTTTAAATGTTAAAAGATCTAATCATCCAGATTTTTTTTATCTACTTACCTATACAACATTTGTGGCAGCCTTTTGTATCAGGAATCTTTGTTGTTAAAGCAAACTTTCTGAAAACAAAAGATAATATAAATGTACTCTGTTGCAGTGGTTGCCTTACTGTGATTTATGAATCAGTTACATCAAAATCAGATAGCAAGAAGCTTTAAAACAACTTGTACTCTTGACTCCACACTTTCTGATTTTAGAGGACTGAGATGGGGCCTGAGAATCTGTATTATAAAACTTTCACAGTTGATTCTCACAGACAATCCAATTTAGAAAACATTGATATTTTGCATTCTGGATGACATACATTTTAAACTACCTTTCAAAATTGAGGTAAAGGAAGTTTTCTTTTTTGGTGGCATTGGGATTGCACTCAGGGCCTTGTACATGTTAGGTGAGTATTCTTTACCACTAAGCTACATCCCTACACCTTGATTTTTTTATTTTGAGACAGGATCTTACTGAGTTGCTGAGGCTGGCCTAAACTTGTGACCTTCCTGCCTCAGTCGACTCAATTTCTGTGGGCTGGAGGTTCACTGATTTAAAATCTCCAGACCAACTGGCATTCAGTGAAGACCCCCAAGCCCATCTAAGCCTAAACCCTGCCTCCAGGAATTCTGCCTTTGGGATTACCTCTCTCACTGCAGCAATTCAGAGGTGGAGCATCACGATCCAAATGACCAAATGATCCACCTAAAACTGCTGAGAAGAAAAACTGAGAATCTTTTGAATTCCACAGAAAGATTTCTTTAACTTTTCATCAAGACTGTTTGTTTTTTTTTTAATTCTTTTTCTCTGTTTAATTGTGACCTTAATGGTATATGGATATTTATACATATTCATATTTTTTTTTCCCTAATTTCTAGCATTTTTGAAGCCAGTTATTTTTCATGGTTTAGTTTTTTAAAGAACTAGAATGTTTGATTAGTATATTTTAGTTTTGTTTTATATTTTTTTATTTGTTAATTAAAAAAATTTTACTTTATATTTTTTTCTTCTGTTTCTCTTGATTCTCTCTTTTCCTGTAACAGCCAAACTCTACTCTTTCTTTCACTCTTCCTTTTTTACTTCTTCTCCCTTCCTCCCTCATAATCATCACATCCTATATCACTTCTCTTCCCTCCCTAGTCACCATTTGAAATTATAAACCCTTTTGCAAACTTGCTGTTCCTATTGTAGGCAATAACTGATCATATCATTTCTGTTTATTGTGGTAATTAACACTGTAGACGTCACAGCAGGAACTATTTGGTTTAATGCTATATATTGTTTGCATAGGTTGTTGTTATTATTTGTCTCCCCCTAAACAGTGAGGTACTGGAAATCTTCAGAGGCACTATAAGTCCATAGGGTAGAAACTCAGATCCATAATGTTAAATGGGTAGATATACAACATGAAAAAGCAAGGGAACAAAATGCTCCAAATAAATCAAGATACTCTGTGGAACCAACCTAGATGCCCTTCAATAGATGAATGGATTTAAAAAAATGTGGCTTTTATACACAATGGAATATTACTCAGCACTAAAAAATAACAAGATCATGGCATTTTCAGGGAAATGAATGGCATTAGAGCAGATTATGCTAAGTGAAGTTAGTTAATCCCTAAAAAACAAATGCCGAATGTCTTCTCTGATATAAGGGGGGTGACTCAATACAGAGTAGGGAGGAAGAGCATGAGAAGAAGATTACCACTAAAAAGGGACGAGAGGTGGGAGGGAATGGGAAGGAGAAGGGGAATGGCACAGAAGATGGAAGGAGAACCTCATCGTTATACAAAATACATATAAGATGGTGTGAGGGGGAAGAAAAAAAAAAGAGAGAGAAATGTGTCACAGTAGCCTGGGTAGAGAGAGGTGACGGGAGGGGAGGGGAGGAGAGGGGGGATAGGGAGGACAGCAGAATACAACAGACACTAGTATTGCTGTATGTATATACGTGGCTGTATAACCAATGTGATCCTGCAATCTGTACACGTGGAAAAATGAGAATTCATACTCCATTTGAATCAAATGTATGGTATGTCAAGATCTTTGTATTGTGTCGAGCAACTAATAATAATAAAAAAAAGATACTCCACTAAGAGAATCCATTGACACAACAGTGAAAGATATGTCAGGGAAGGAGTTTAGAATGTATATAGTTAAACAGAACTGTGAAGTAAAGGATGGTATAAGAAATGAAATCAGAGAGAAAATATAGGAAGTGAAAGATCACCTCAATAAAAAGGCAGAGATTCTGGGAAAAAAGAAGAAAAGAAAATAGAGTTGACCGTGGAGAGAAGATGTTAAGAAACCATGAACAGAACTTTCAAGAACTATTGGATAACATGAAAAGACCAAATTTAAGATTTATTGACATAGATGAAGATGTAGAGATACAAACCAGAGGAATGCACAAGCTTTTCAATAATATCAGAAAATTTCCCAACCTAAAGAATGAAATGGAAAAAATACAAGAAGCTTTTACAGGACACCAAATGTACAAAATTACAAAAGACCCACACCAAGGCATATTATAATGAAAACGCCTAACATATGGAATAAGAATAGAATTTTAAAGGCTGAGAGAGAAAAATATCAGATTAGATGTAAGGGGAAACCAATTCAGATCTCGGCTAATTTCTCAACACAGACCCTCAAAACTAGGAGGTACTGGAATAACATACCAAGCTTTTTCTTTTATCCAGTAAAATTAAGCTTCAGATTTAAAGATGATATAAAAACCTTCTATATAAACAAAAGTTAAATGAATTTGCAACCAGAAAGCCTGCACTACAGAACAGTCTCAACAAAATACTCCATAAAGATGAAATGGAAAAAAAAAAATGAAAACCAGCGAAGGAAGAAACTACACTAAAGGACAGTTAATCAAAGGAGAAACCAATTCAAATTGAAAACTAGAAATAAAACCAAATGACAATGTGATTCTGCAACCTATACAATCAGAAAAATGAGAAATTATACGCCATTTGAGTCAAATGTATGAAATGTCAAGATTATTGTACTGTCTTGTGTAACTAATAAATAAATAAATAAATAGATAGATAGATAGATAGATAAAAATTATGAAAAAAAAAAACCCCAAATGAAATCATATCTCAATAACAACCTGGAGCTAATGTTAGGACATTAATATGTCCTAAACTCATCAATCAAAAGACACAGATTGGCAGATTGGATTAAAAAACAAGACCCAACAATATGCTGTCTCCAAGAGACTCACCTCATAGGCAAAAGACATCCAGAAACTGAAGGTGAAAGGATGGGGAAAAAAAATATCACTCACACGAATCACATAAACAAGCAGGGGTTTCTATCCTCATATTAGATAAAGTGGACTTTAAGCCAAAGTTAATCAGAAGGGATGAAGAAGGACATTTCATACTGCTTAAGGGACTTATACATCACCCAGACATAACAATCATAAACATTTATGGCCTAAACAATGGAGCATCTATATATATCAAACAAATCCTCCTAAATTTCAAGAATCAAATAGACCACAACACAATAATACTGGGTGACTTTAACATGCCTCTGTCAGTACTGGATAGATCCTCCAACCAAAAACTAAATAAAGAAACTAGAAGTAAAAAAAAAAAAAACAATAATTTAGACTTAACAGACATATATAGAATATTTCATCCATCAATGACTGAAGATACTTTCTTCTTAGCAGCACACAGATCCTTCTGTAATACAACCATGTTATGTAAGCTATCACATGTGTTGGCATACAATTTTAATATTACCTTAATATATTTTTAGCATCTGTAGGGTTATTTTGATAGCTCCTTTTCCATTGATATTAATTTTTGTGTTCTTGCTTTTTTCTTGATTAGACTTGTTTATTTTTATTGAATTTTAGCTGTATTATTTCTTCTCTAAATATTTCATATATTTTTACTCCTATTCTTATTTTTTCCTTCCTACTGCATAATTTGAAAATAATTTGATTATTATTTTAGCTTTTTTCTGATAAAAGTACTTTAAGTTTTAAATGTTCACCTGAGTACTATTTCATCCCAGAGATCCTGATATTTTAAGCATTCATTATCACTTAGTTCAAACCACTTTTTATTTACTTTTCTTGTGCTTTCTTCCTTTTCCTCTGAGATATTTAGAAGTGTACTATTTAATTTTGAAATAGTTGATTTGTGGGGGTGCGGTTCTATATATCTTAAGGTTATTTATTTATTTATTTTTATTTATATATAACAGCGGAATGCATTACAATTCTTATTACATATATAGAGCTAAATTTTTCATATCTCTGGTTGTATACGTAGTATACTTGCACCAATTCATGTCTTCATACATGTACTTTGGATAATAATGATCATCACACTCAACCATCATTAATTACCCCATGCCCCCTCCCTTCCCTCCCACCCCTCTGCCCTATGTAGACTTCATGGATTCCTCCCATGCTCCCCATCCCTATCTCACTATGAATCAATTTCCTTATATCAAAGAAAACATCCGGCATTTGTTTTTTTGGGATTGGCTAACATCACTTAGCATTATCTTCTCTAATTCCATCCATTTACCTGCAAATGCCATGATTTTATTCTCTTTTATTGCTGAGTCATAGTCCATTGTATATAAATGCCACATTTTTTTTATCCATTTATCTACTGAAAGGCATCTGGGTTGCTTCCACAATTTAGCTATTGTGAATTGTGCTGCTATAAACATTGATGTGGCTGTGTCCCTGTAGTATGTTGTTTTTAAAGGTGATTGATTTCTAATGTAATAAATCATGCAGGAAACACAGCCTGCATGATTTCAGATGTAAAAAAAAAAAAGTAATGGAAATGCTTTTTATATTGATTGTATTGTTTACATACATGTCAAAACTGATCCAATTTCATACTTCAAATATGTGCATTTTATTGTACTTCAATTTTACCTCAATAAAACTATGGAAAATATACGGAAAAAAAAAGTAGCTGGGATTACAGGTGTGTATCACTACACCTGGCCTAAGGAACTTGTATTGTTTTGGTTTTTTACTGGGCAAAGAATACTGGTTGTTTTAAAAATGACTCCCATCAAAGTCAAGATGGTATTCTGTACCTTGGCAGTATTCGGTCTGGAAATCTGTGGGTCTGAATGTGGGCAGCTAATCCTGGCTTTTTGGCTTGTTCAAACAAAGCAATAAGATTATGGGAGTAGAGCTGAAATGTTTTTCCTACAAAAGAGCAAGCAACATGTTACTTTTCTTAGAATCATATCCAGCAGAGAAATACATTTTCAAGTAAAAAAAATATATATAATTACCTTCTAAAATGAGGAGTCCAGTAATGTTCAAAGGTCAAGAGAGAAGAAAACAAAGCAAATAAAGAATCTCAGTTAATACCATTTAAAAAAAGTAATTTTTAAGTGAGTAGATAATTCTGTTTCATAATACTCAAATTTGGTATATTCTGACAAATAAGTGATCTGGGCTGAATATATGTAAACTTTCATGATGCCAGCACAGAAAAGGAAACTGTTAAACACTGATGTACAAAACCTTATAAATCAAGTTACAATGATGTGTATGTAATAATTTTGGTACAAAGTGGAAATTCCTATAAAACTGTATTCTCTCTCTGGGATAGACTACTTATCCATAATTTATCAAATTATCTTAGATTAAAATAATTGTGAATGAATTCAAATAAAATGGAATGAAATTGTAAGAAAAGTAAGATAAACCAATATTATAAGCCAAAATAAAAGTATAAATGGGGTACATTTTCATTTCATCAAAAACATTAGCTGTGTTAAGCAGTGGAAGACAAGGTAACTATCTTTTTTGACTTCTCATTATATATGGTGTGGTAATATAACAACATAAAACAGTATTTACCTTTTTATTATTAGAAAAAAATGTATATATATATATATATATATATATATATATATATATATAACATTTTTTCTTCTATGTATAATCTTAGCTTAACAAAATCATCTTTATTTTCTCAGAATAGAAACACTCTGGTTCACACTATACCACCCTTCCCCTCTGTTTCTCCTATACACACAGTTATCCAGCTAGCCAGGTATCCAGCTACCCACATGTACATGGACAAAAAAGTTTTCTCCTATTGACCTCTGCTATCTACCTTCTACCAGTTTTGTAAGTCAATTTGATCAGAAGACAGAACTAACTTATAAACTAATCTCCCCTGCTTTCCCATAGTTACTTTGATTACCCTGTGTAGTTCTTAAGCTTATTTCTGAAGACAATTATGACCAGGGATAAAAGCAGCAAGAAAGAGAAAAGTAATTTTGTGTGAAATTTAGAATTGTTAACTTGGACAGAATTGGGTTTAAGTTTCTTTTCACAAAAGTAATATGGTATATTAATATTTGCTAAAAAATGAAAAACAGTTTTGGGAAAGTATAACTAAAGTCAAAAAGATTAAGTATTCTTTTGAGCTCCCCTACTTTTTAGAAATCATTTATGTACAAACAAAATGCTCTTCATAAATACTGTCAGTAGCTCAAATATACAGATTTCTGAAGAATCTTTACTAGAAAGAAATAATAATTACTGTTCTGTTCTCTACTTTCAGAATGAAACCTCTAGCTAGCAATTTATATCTAAAATGTAAGAAGATATGGTCTGGTAGGTATGAATTAAAACCCACTTTGTCTTACCATCCCAGATGCAGAACACCTATAAAATCTGAAGTTGAGCAATAAATATATCACTTATGGTAACTCTGAAAACCTGTCTGAATATTTATTATGTTTGCAAATTTGAAACTTAAAGGGCCAAAACAAACAAACAAAAAAGTTTAAAAATACCATCCACTCATCCATTCACTACTACCAACAACCAAAAAAGAAAACCCACAATAACCAGAATTAGAATAGGTTGCTCTGGAATCACATCACTTAAGAACCTTTAAAACATTAATCCAAGGTAGTGGATTAATGTGGTTCAGAACAACCTGAATGCTACCACCAAATATCTGCCTAAGACTTCACAATTTACTAAGCACTTTGGATATCAATTCATTTAACCCTCACAACAACCTCATAAAACCGTTCTAATCCCATTACCCTCATTTGACAAATAAGAAAACAGTCCAAGAAGGTAAGTGACTTGCTAAACATCACAGAGAAAAGAGCAGTTCAATCTACTTCTTGCCCTTCAACTGTTAATATTCAATCGCTGCGGAGGCTGAGCTGAATGGAATGGCCACGGGTATTAATCACTGTGCTACCTGCCCCCTCACACTCCCCCAAGTATTTAGAAGCTTGAATGGTTTGAGAAGAAAACATCTCCAAGTCCCAAAGTTACTATAATACAGTTACATAAAATTATAAATAACATTTTGATGTAGTATATACTAAAATTTAATGTCTACTTGTCTATGTTTATTCTTTATTGCCAAATACATACCTGATAATGACATTAAAGTATTATTGATAACATATAGCCAAGTACACTTCCGTGGAAATAACTAAAAAGAGAGAAAGAGAGAGAAGATAAGCCATGCAATTTTCATTTTCTTATCCCTATCCTTCCAACATTCTAAAATAGTACTGCTAGAGATATAACTCAGTGGTAGAGCACTTGCCTAGAATATGCAAGGCTCTGAGTTTGATCCCTAGCACCACACAAAACAAATAATAAATTAGTTCTATAAAAATAACTATTTTCTGTCTTTTAGTAAATTATCAAAATCTTAGGAAAAAAAATCAACAGGAACATGTAAAAGGTTCACTGTCAACCTTTTAAATATTTAAATCATGAAAATTAGAATTTGAGCCCAAATAAATTGATTAAAAATTAAAATACTTTTTTTATTCAATTTGTCCAAACTAATTTTTTTAGTTAAAATACCTCATTACCTGTTCCATAGTGGCCTCATGTAGCTCATTGAGATTCAATGTATAAATACCATCTTCAGTTCCAAAAATAATGTACTGATCTAAAACAGTTCATAAATTGTTTATTATTATTTTCTGAAATAATTTACTAAAGTAATGATTTTATAATGATATTAAGAGTTAGACAGCCAAAGTAAAATTATTTTCTAAAATTCATGCCACCTTATTTCTTTCCTAAACACTTCTCTTCTTTTTTTAAAGATATATTTTGTTGTACCAACTCACTCTGAATTTATCTTACTATATAATCCTTCCCTTCAACACTATTTTTATATTTAAATTTTTTTGTTTATAGTAAGTAACTATTTTTGTAAGAAACCTCAAATGCAAGAAAAGTACATTAATTATAAATCATGACACACCACAATGAAATACCAAGAATTCAGATCTTGGTTTCTAAATACTGTTTCTACTAAAAAGAGCCAGGGCTTCTTGGAGACAAGTCTGAGTCCTATTCTGGGGACGGGAAAGTAGGATGAGCCTAGAAATTCTCCAGTGTCAGAAAGTAAGGAAGTGCTCCAAAAATGATTAGGACACTTTAAACAAAAATTCCAGGACAATTTAAGTGTGAAAATAAATAATAGTGATGGATCCTATTTCACTGAATGAAATTAGAATGTATAAGTGCCAACTGAATAAATGTAATATGTAATCTTGAATTAAATGTTGGATTGGGGAAATAAAAAAAAAGGGTGGAGACTAGGGAGAATACTATTGGGACAATAAAATTTAAACATGATGGACAGAAAAACAGCATTACATCAGTGACAAGTTTCCTGATCTTTTTCATTGTACTGTTTTATTTCAGTGATGATTTCTTTTCCATGGTGCTGGGGATTGGACCCAGGGCTTCGGGCAAGCGCTCAACTGCTGAGCTATTCCCCCGGCCCAAGTGATGATTCTTTTTTTTTTTTTTTTCTCCAAGTGATGATTCTTGATGCTAGGAAATATACACTGAAGCAGAGGAGCATGAGGTCTCCAATAGATAGAAAATGGTAAAATGAATGAGGCAAAATAGAAGCAATTAATGATTTTGAGTATATATAGTTAGTAGTTTCTTGTGCTATTTTTTATAACTTTTCTGTAAGTCTGAAATTATACCAAATACAAAGTTTCAAACAAAAATATATTTCCTTTCTATTGAAATTTTTTTGTTATACTTTCTAACAGTGGTATTTAAAGCAGATCATTTTAAAGCAATTAAAACAAACATTTCCTGAACCCCTTTATTGATTATTCCTGTTTGCTAATTGCCATATACTCAGGCAGGTGCTTTCCTTTCTTACAAAGTAAGCATTAAGAGTATTCACATTACAAATGATTACAATGAAAACCAGGGGTGTTAAGCTTATTTTCCAAATCACCTGGCAGCTACAATTCAAACTCGGACTATTTGATTACACATTTTTGCCTCTATATGTTATGTTTCCCTGGCATGTGCAGGGTGCTGGGTTCGATCCTCAGCACCTCATAAAAATAAAATAAAGATGTTGTGTCCACCGAGAACTAAAAAATAAATAATAAACATTAAAAAAATTCTCTCTCTCTGTTAGGCTTCCTCACTTTAAAAATATATAATTTAAACTTAGAAAAATAACTATTTTGACATCCTTTCAGACTTACAGAAAATGTATAATAGTATAAAGAATTCCTGAATACCTTAACACAGATTCCCCAAATGCTGAACATTTACCACTTATGTTTCATCTTTTCATTCTTTCTCCCCTATGTGCGTTTTGTTTCCGGAACCATTTCAGACACAAAAGCCCCTTTATGCCTAAATATTTCAGGATGTATTTTAACCAGTTGTATATAACCAGAGAATAGTACACATAATAATACTATTTCCTAATCTACAGATCTTACTGGTTGAGATAATTGTCCTAGTAATGTTTTTTAGAGTAAGAGAAAATTCCAAAGTAAGGATGCAATCAATTTTGATATCTCTAGTCTCTTTTAATCAAGAATGGATCCTACACACTCTTAAGTTTTAATGTATTAAACCAAACCCTAACTATCTATTTAGGTTGTCACAGGTTCCTATACCAATTAGTCTATTCTCTAACATCATATTTTTAAAGTAACAATCTCAGTTATAAAGATCCAATTGTTTATTAGAGATGCATAATATTCAAAAGTTTTACCTTTTGTATCAGGATGTATCCAGGATGTTGCACAATTAATTTTCAAAGGACAGCCATCAAAAACTTTTGAAAAACATGCTCCCATCTTATTTATAAAGAAAGAAATATTGACTTATTTGATTATATAATTTTAAATAGTGTTAGAAAAATCATTACGATATTTTACACTTATTAGACTTTTACTATATAAAAAAGTACAATTTATAAAGCATCCCATTCACATGACTGGTTGAACTACCATACAGGCTGAGAATAAGTATTAACATAAGTTTCCCATTTCACTGTACAGAGTCCAATGTGAAAATGGCATCAGGGATAGAAAGATATTTAATTCACATAAGCAAGAGGACACATTACTATTAACATTATCACACTAAAATTAAATTGGCCTTTTTAGGCTAATCTGAGAACCCAACTGCCAGTATTTATAAAATGAGAAATTGTCTCTAAGTTCTAACCAATTCACTCAAATTAGGGTAAATGATTTGATCCATGAACTATCCAAATGCATCTAATACCTTTCTATTTTGTAGTATCATTGATTTTAATGGCTCATTATAACATACCCTATAGCAAATCTATTTCTGCTGCTTCTAAAGACATAAAACATGGCAAATAAGTCATATAAAAATATTCTTTACCAGTACTTTTGGGGTGGGTGGTAGACCATTGATGGCTGGTTTCTGTGGAAAAAATAATTTTTAATATTTTAATATCATAAGACTTCCTGAGCCTCAAAACAAAAAAAGAAAACCTTTATCCATTCAGACATTTAGTTATTTGAATTCTTTTCTTTGAGAGAGATGGGGTCTTGCTATGTTGCTCAGGTTGGCTCTGAACTCTTGGGCTCAAGCTATCCTCCTATGTCAGCCTCACAAGTAGCTGGGACAAGAGGCATATACCATCCCATCCTGCTCCACATAGGCAAATTCTCAAATTAAACAGATTATTTCTCTTGCATGATAAATACACGATTAGTTACAATTGATTGCTAAATGCCTGTTTACTTACAGGGAAGTCTCGCTTGTCCTTTTTTCGAGGTAACTGTGGTGCTTGTGCTGATCCTTCTGTATTTTCACTAATCAGTTTTGAAATACCATCACCATTTCCTAAAGAGAATCATAGTTAAAAGTTGAATGATCACACAAATAAATACACCCTTTGAAAAACAATTTTTCCTTTCCCTCATGACTTGTCTTCCCCTTTAGTGATTTGTTATGGAAGAATATTTTCTACTGTCAGATGAGTTATCTTTGGTTCCTTCCTCTAGATTCTATAGTTGTTGCACTGTATCTTTAGCCATGCTCTTAACCTATGAAAATTATGAATGTCTTTCCATAGTGTAAAGAAAAATGAAATCTCCTAACATGGTTACATTGATATTCAAGACCTTTTCCAATTGAACTTTAATCCACATTTTCAGTCCTATCTTTTCTTTAAATATCACACTATCCCATAGTGGAATGTACTTAAAACATAATTCAGGTTTTCCTGCCTCAGTGCATTGACTCTTCTTTCTTATTTTCCAAAAATGTCTGTCAGCACTGGCTTCACCTACTGAAGGCTCATTAAGCCCTTTACTACCCGTCAAGAGTCTACTTTCTCTTTTCTCCATCCTTACCTCCCTCAGAAATCTCAGATATTCTATTACATACAGTTATTATTTTATGAGACTCTCATACAAGTTGTCTTTTCTAATGTTTTGTATACATAAATATAACTTCTGCCATAGCCTCTAATCTCCAGGAGGGCAGGAATAAGTATTCATCCTTATAGGTCCTATAGTATTATTTGTTTTTTAAATTTTGAATCAGGGTCTCACTAAGTTGCCGAGGCTGGCATTGAACTTGTAATCCTCCTGCCTCAGCCTCCCTAGTCATTGGGATCAGAGGTGTGCACAAGCATGTGTGGCTAATATTTAATAAGGAATCATATTAGAGTTGAAGTGGACAGAATTTATTTATAGACCATCTATTTGGAATTAAAGAACCTCATAAAGCTTTAAACTGTAATAGGACCGACTACAGAAGAAAGATATTCTTTAAAACAGGAACAATGTGGCTTTCTTTCCACTTTGATTTATTTACCCAGATCACAGTATCTAGCTGTACGCACTCGAGGGCTGCTGACACTGCTAGCCATACCCAAAGAGGAAGTCTCTGCTACAGGACCACAACTTGGGCTACTCTGTCTTCTGAGAACTTGAGGAGCTCTGTTCTCTGAATCAGGGCAACGTTTTATAGTTGATGATTTTTCTTCATCTGGGAGGTTGTCTTCAGGGTAACTGTTTATCCTTGGCTAGTGATTAAAAAACAAAAAAGTACTTTGAAAAATCTAGATACAGAATTTAGTTATTAGGCTTCAAAGACTTTAGGAGGTAGGGGATGCACCTTTTTCTTCCTAGTGTTTAGTTCAACTCACTGTGCTAAGTGAGCAAAGTAAGCTAGAGTTAGGTTACTGTCCCAAAACAACTCTGAACTTAACATTTAATTTTTAATCAGCTCAACCAAAATTGATAAAATTTTTTATAACCAATAGAGATGATGTAAACAGTCCATAAAATATTTAATAGTGGAAACAAGGACAATAACTCAATTAAGTATGACTACATAAATGTCAAACTACAGTAATAGGATTATAAATGATCCATGCAGTCAAGTATTTTCTCAAATGAGCAATGATCTATGTTTTTCTTTTTCTAATATTTGTTAAAAATATTCTATTTCTCAGGGAGACCAATAAAAGAAGGGGAGGGGAAAAGGAAGACTTTGTGGAAAGAAACTGACCAAATTATGTGCACATAGGAAGGAATATATCACAATAAATGCCACTTTTATATATTATTATAATATACTGATAAATTCTTTTAAGAAATCTATTTCTCATGAAATCTTCTTTACTATACATTTTACATCTTCATGTCTCCCTTCTGAAGAAAACTGTATTCATCTAAAATATATTTGAGAAACTTCTGACTCTGAATAAAATCAATAAAATTATTTAAAAAATTTAATTATTTAAAAAAAGATTTATTGTTCAAAGTCCTTAAACAGCTCACCTTAGGAGGTAGGGGAGGTGGTACTGCACGTTTTGAGGTTGATCTAATACAAAGAGGAAAAATATAATTTAGATGATGATAAATGGCCATAACTTAAAACAACAACAATATTTACATGTATTAAAAGACAAATAGATAATGATATGGAATATGAGGAAAAACTATGACCTCATATAGTCAGAATGCACTAGTGTGACTATAAAATAGAGATATTATAAAGAAGGCACCAAGTCTTTACTTCATAGTTATGCTTTGTGATATTTAATTTAAACTTACTAATAAACAATAGATTCAGGCTAGGGGTGTAGCTCAGTGGTAAAATGCATACTTAGCATATGCAAGACCCTGAGTTCAATCTCCAGCATCAAAAGAAAAAATAAACAAAAAACAACAATAAAATTCAAAAATTTTAAACCCATAAGATTCAAGTGGCTATTATAATCAAACTACTTGAAACATGGTCCTCGGACCAGTGATAATGGCACCACTTGAGACCTTTTATAAATGAATCATTTCTACCTACTGAATCAGAATGTATATTTTAATGAGATCTCCAGTTCAATACGCAAATCAAAGTTTGACATGTACTGATCTAGCCCAATGGTCATACATGTTTATCCAGTCACTGCAATCAACTGGAAAGCTTTTAGGATTTTTAGATTTCAGTCTTAAAGACAATATTCTATAGTAGAGGTTGGAAATTTTTTCTGTCAAGGGCCAAACAGTAAATCTCATAGGCTTGGTAAGTAGTTGCAACTCTGCTAATATAGAGTGAAAGCATCTTTAGATGATACATAAATTAATGAACAAGGAAGGCTATGTTCTGATAAAGCTTTACTTACGGACACTGAAATCTGAATTTCATATGATTTTCACATGACAAAATATTCTTCATTTGATTTTTTTTGTGTGTGTGGGTACCAGGGATTGAACTCAGGGGTACTTGACCACTAAGCTACATCCCCAGTCCTATTTTGTATTTTACTTAGAGATAGGGTCTCAATGAGTTGTTTTTAGCACCTCGCTTTTGCTGAAGCTGGCTTTGAACTCGAAATCTTCCTGCCTCAGCCTCTTAAGCCATTGGGATTAGAGTTGTGCACCACCATACCTGGCTTCTTCATTCGATTTTTTTCCAAGCATTAAAAATGTAAATACCATTTTTAGTGTACGAGCTGTGTAAAAATAGGCAGCAGGCCAGATTTGGTCCATAGGCTATGCAGTTTGACAACCCCAGATCTATAGGTCTAATGTTGGGACACAGAATCTGTATTTTGAAAGAGTTCTCTAGGCAAATGCAATGCACATATAAGTAAACAACAACAATGAGGCCATGCCCTATAGTTAATTGCCAAAGGAAAGATACCAATCTAGACTATGAAGTAACTACACTGTGGAGATAAAACTGGGACTTTCTGATTTCCACTACAGTAATTTTTTACCATGACATCTTGTGAGTCACCTTTCCATATATTATTATTACACATAGTACATTTTGATTAAAACAAAATACAAAAGCATTAATGATCAATATGTGATGGTTTTTGGTAATTAAAAAAAAAGTCAGAAGCTTTATATTGGCAACTTTTTTAAGAAAAAAATTAAAGCTTATTAAATTCCATTCCTCTACTACCAAATACTATTCTATGTAATTTAATAACTTTTATTAAATTAAATAAAGTTATTAATCAGAAATAACTTACTTTCCAGTATTTGAACCATCAACAAAAGGATTCCACTGTAATATAAAGTTTGGGTCTGATGAGACTCCCTGTGAAGATTAAAAATATAGTTCCTTTTATAGATATTAACCATCTTATTTATTACTGAAAGATGCTAGTCATCATTTTGATTCAAGAAAAACTCCAGTGTCATGATTGTTAATGTATTGGCATTGAATCAGTTTCTAAATCTTCAGCTAGTTTTGCTTTGCCATTTGACCTATTTAGGCCAGTGACTCATTATCAGTTGACATGAACTTAAGAAATTTTTTAAACATACTAAATATAGCTTCAAATGTAACAAGTCCTCTTTTTTTAATATTTATTTTTTGGTTAGACACAATACCTTTATTTTGTTTGTTTATTTTTATGTGGTGTTGAGGATCAAACCCAGGGCCCTGCGCATGCTAGGTGAGCGCTCTACCACTGAGCCACAATCCCAGCCTGTGACAAGTCCTCTTTATCAATATGCTAGTATATTCTAAAGCAAAAAAGCAACTTTGAATTACTTACATCACTACTTCATTAGCATGCAGGACTAAATAACATTATTAAATTATTTATTTACTGGTACTACTACTTTTTCTTATTAGCATGGAAATTAAGGACTCACAGACACATACAGTAAGAACAACATCTCTTCTACATGTTATTCTAAAAAATATAGTTCTATTAATTGAAAATAAAGTAGATATTAAGGTAACTTTTAGGTCAACTCTAACAATATCATGCTTTATTTAGTCTTTTCTTTTAGACCAAAGAAGGGTTAACTAAGTAGTTGTCTGAAAATAAGGGCACTGGTTAAAAAAGAAGTCATATAAACAAATGACATATTTGTTTTGTTTTTCCTTTTTGGCAGTGCTGGGTTCAAACCCAGGGCCTTGTGCATGCTAGGAAAGTGCTCTACCACTGAGTTATATCCTCCGCCCCACAAATAAAATACTTAAAAAAAATAATAATAAGGCATTGTAAAAATATATTTACTATAGATCTAATAAAATAGATATGAAAAAAGGTAGCAAGAACTTTGAGCTAAGCTTCCAAATAAGTGTTTAGTAGTTTCATATAAATACTTCAAAAGACTCAAAAGAGTCAAAATGAATGACTGAAATAGCGTGTTATGTTCTAACTATTCAAAATACACCAATTACTAACTTTATCAAACTTGAGTATGTGAAATACATTATCAATAAAAAATGCTTGGGGCTGGGGTTGTGGCTCATAACAGAGAATGTGTGAGGCACTAGGTTTGATCCTTAACACTACATATAAATAAATAAAAAATAAAGGTACATCAACAACTAAAAAATATTTTTTAAAAAATGCTTAAAAGAGGATATGATTCTGTTTCTTATAGTATGTCTAACTGAAATAAGTTTTCTTAAAATTTAAAAGTTATCATTCTTACCATTTCATCCCGTGCTTCAGTTTCTTTTCTCAGAGGAGGTTCAAATTGTAATTTGTCAACTGCAAAATATATACGAGATATTTATAAACTCAATCTCTTAAGGGTTAATCTTGGAGATGAAATGTTTGTGTCCTGGTAGAAGGGGAATGGAAAATATAACACACACCGCCCCCCCCCCCCCACACACACACATACATACACATATATTTTTAACTACAGTCTTACCAAAAGAGTGTAATAACCTAATGTCTTCCTGATATGTCTGTTTAATTTTTTAAAAAATATTTTTAGTTATAGATGGACACATACCTTTGTTTATTTATTGTTATGTGGTTCTGGGGAATGAACCCAGTGCCTCACATGTGCTAGGCAAGTGCTCTACCATTGAGCTACAACCCCAGCCCCTCTGTTTAATTCTGATTGAAAATTTTAAAACTTTATTAGAAGTAGATGATCAAAGAACAAATGGTTTCTGTTAAATATTATAATGTTCAGGAATCTAATACATTTTACTGTGTATTTTATTTGGCCTGGTCAGATTGATTTCAGAATTATTTTAAATATTCAATGAGTAACTACTTTTATATGAAATATTCCCAAACAGGGAAAAGGATGGTTTATTACTTACTCATAAAGTATACAGAATTTTAAGATTCTAAAATCCAATGTAACTAAAAGGCCAATAAAGTTTTTTTTTCAACATTCATACTTGCATTACAGAGATGGCAAGTTTCCTGAATACAATCTTAGCAAACAAAATGTCCTGAAAAAGCACTTTCAAATAGGATCTAGAATTTATCCTAAAAACAAGATTTGTAGAAAGCAATAAAAAGTACATAATTCATTAAATAAAAAGTACATAATTCATTACATAAGCAAAACCAGTATATCATAATTTTTTTTGTAAAAAAGATAAGACTAAAACAGCATCTACTTTAAAAAACAATCTAAAAGAAAAAGACCTTGGTCATTAATCACTCACTTAACATGATTTTAAAACATTTTAATTCAAGAATTACTATTATAATCCATAAAGAACCATTTACTCTTTTGAGACACAGATGAGCTAAAGGATTTTTCTTTTGGTCATAACTGGCAAGAAGAGAGAGAGTGATGGATCAATGACCTTGACATTCCAGTAGAAACATTAAACAAATGTGAGAGTAAGCTCAAAGGAACAGAGATTTGGAGCATAGTGGGAATTCATGTATCAGAGCTCATGCCAGGGCCCAGGTCAGGAGTGAAGAGTACATTGAAGTACATGAAGATGTCCAGATATGAAGATCCATGATAAAAGGTATAAATATGAAAATAAAATATCACTTTTCATAATAAGTTAAAAGACTACAAAAATTCCTAGAAAAAATGAATTTCATCATTTAAAGATACACGAAAACATTAACTACAACCCAATAGACAAGTATCAGTAAAAATGAGATTTCATTTAAATAATTATTTAAGAAGTTTTAATATGTAATAAAAGATATCCTTAAAAAATCCTTATTACTGGCTTAAAATTATTATAGCCATAACTTACAAACAGAATGCTGGAGCCTCCAATTTTTGTTCTGTGTGGTAGACTGGACATACACTTTTTAAAAAAGAAAACCCTGGTAGTGCCTTTGGGTGTGTCTTTGGCCCATGACAAAGGTGGGGAGGCTTTCGAGTATATATCCTCATTTATCTCTAAAAGATGATCCAGTTCTGGCTATAATTAAAACTGACTGTTATGCTATAAACTACTACACATGTAGCATAAATATGTGTGTGCGTGTCTGTGTGTCTGTGTCTGTGTCTACAAATTATATGAAAACAACTGTTTTGGGGCAGTGGATGACAGATATTACAGGGATGTGTTCCTTGAGAGAAGGTGAATACATTGTGGTAAAATCCACAGCCCAACTTTGGCTTTTTGCCTGGGGACACTTCCTAAAGTAGTGTTACAAGAAGGTGGAGTCCAAAGAGTAAGTCTCACTGGATAGGGAAACAAAGATAAGAACTTGGGGGTATGATTTGAAGGGCAGAGTATTAAAAATAAGAAAGCTGAACTCTAGAAATCTCAAAGAATTTTCTTTAAATCTGTGACTGAATACTAAGAGCAAAGCAAGCTAAGCAAAGTATGTTAGAAAAGAGCTAAGAGGACCATAAAGCAGAGATGTACCAGGAAAGATAACCAAGTTTCCACTCAGAGGAAGATCTTGCTGAATACTCTAGAAAAACAGTCAGCAAGCCTTGAAAGGATCAAGCTGACCTAGTTAATTCATTCTTTAAAGGAAGAGGGCAACACCCTTTACAATTAATAGAAACAGATCCAGAGATGATACAGATGTTGAAATAAGTAGATAAGGTCTGAAAACTGCTATTATAAATATGTTCAAGGATTTAAGAGAAAACATGAACACAAGTGAGCAGATAATCTTAGTAGAGAAATAGAAATTATATATATGTGTATATATATGTATATATGTACATGCATTATATGTGTGTGTATGACTCAAGTCTAGATTTGAAAAATATCACATCTGGAAAAAAACTCACCATAGGAACTTAACAGTGGACTGAACACTACAGAGGAAAAGATCAATGACCTTGAAGTCAAGGCAACAGAAATTACAGAGAACAAAGAAATCCCCCTTATGTGCAGATATGAGGGGCAGAGAGAGAGAACAAGCCTTGGTGCCTTATGAAACAAGTGAATTAACTATGCAGCTAGAGTCCTGGAAGTAGATGAGAGATTTGGGTAGAAATTTTGAAGAGTAGCCAAATATCTTCCAAATTCATAAAAAATTTCAACCCATAGATCTAAGAAACTGAACTCCAAGTAGAATCAACACACAAAAAATGCATTAAATGGATCGCAGTCAAATTATTAAGAAACAAACAAAAATCATAAAAATTTCAACTGAAGTACCTTACATATACATATATACTTAAAAAAATCTGGCTCCTCTGCCATCTTATAGCCTGAGAAGGTGTACTGGGAACAGGACTTCTGAAAGTCACCTGTGTCTGGGAGGCTGTGATGCGAGGCCATTTTTGCTAGCTATATGCCCAGGATGAAACCGATACTGGCTGGACAAGAGATAAACTATGCATTCAAAGCAATAAACGACCCAGTGATTCCTGAAAGTAAATTGAACAAAACCAGGTTAATCTGGGGGAAGGTAACTTGTGTCCACAGAAACATGGCATGATTTGTGTCATGTTCCCAATCAAGTTTCCTACTCAGGCCACTGCACAGAATCAATGTAAAGCTGTACTCTTCAAGGATTTAAACCAATGAAAAGTAAATAAATAAAAGTGGATTTGTTTTTAAAAAATCTGAATTGATATCATGGATTGGGTTGTAACCTGCAGTTTATAAAGTGGTGACATAGAATATATCAGTGTATTATACTTGAGGTAATTTTTCACAGTTTTTTCAGTAAACAAAAATTTTATTTGATAATCATATCCTATTTTTAGGACGGATAAAGCTTGTCCAAAAGCCTAAATTTTGGGCTGAGGTTTTAGCTCAGTGGTAAAGCACCCGCCTAAGCATGTGCGAGGCCCTGGGTTTGATTCTCAGCACCAAACAAAAATAAACAAATAAAATAAAGGTATTGTGTCCAACTACAACTAAAAAATAAATTGAAAAAAACAAAAAGCCTCAACTTTAAGATTGGCAAAAACAAAATAAAAGACACTGTTTAGTGTGCTTCCTACCTAGGAAATGTCTCTCTCTAGGGTTGGAAACACTCAGTCACTATAGTTATCTAGAGAGATTTGTAAGACAGTACACCTTATGATTTTCTCACTCTCACTCCATGAGTAACATAAAAAGGACCCATGGAATTTTCAAATTTAAGTTAGATAAACTTTCCAAAATTCTCAGACTTTCTCAGCCTAACTTTTTCCTTTGTGAATTACAGTGAGGTCAATTCCCCTGGAATCCATTAACTCAACAACCAAAACCTCAGTATCCAATACATTTGAGAATCCTGATTCTGACTTTTTTCTGCATTTATTATAGGATAATAGCTGGATGTCATTCAGCATACACAGTTTAAATCAAACATAGCCAAGAAGGATTTTCTCTGAGACAAACTTTATATGATTTAAAATTCAGAGCTGTTCTGGAAAACTGCCTTCCAACCTTAGTACGTAGAATCTAGCCAGATGTTTTAAGTAATGAACACAGTGGTAAAACTGGGTGTTGATCTCTATATTTACAGTTCTCAATTATAGAGAAATACACCCATCTTAGATCACTGAAAAACTGTCCCATAGGACACCTCAAACTGGAAATGACAAAGAGTCCTTCTTCAGAAGCAAACAAAAAGAAGACAGCTTCCATGCAAGATTGCTGTTTCAAGCTGATGACTACATTGAGTGGGGCATCTGGCCCAGGACCATGAACAAGAGCACTGGAGTCACTGACTCTCACATGTTGAATCTGTACACTACCATATATAACTTCTTTTCTTAGCCACATGTCCTTCCTTTCAATAATTGAAGGTTTTGGATTGTTGTCAGACACTTGTTACTCTTACACTTGATACCTATAGAGTCTATATTAATATCACTCTTTTTAGCCTTAGTTCATGGTATGAGTCCAACACTTGGCTGAAATTTATTCACGAATCAGCTAAAACCATACATTTTAAAGCCACTGTGGAGTTTGTATGTGATCACTTTCCTCCCATCTTCCTTTGGTGCCAATGCCTTGTGATCAATTCCCTATATAGTTGGATTCAACCATGGATTGACTTTTTAAATGACAAATTCTTAAAATTAGATAATTTGGCTAATTTCTGGTCCAGACTGAGAAAGTACTTTCTTTATTCTCCCTATGATAGGAGTCAATAAACCTGACTCTGTTGTATTACACATTTGTCCCTTGTGGTTTTAGACTGATTAGGCTAGGTGCATAATAATTATTTATACACTACAAAGAATGTTTATAGTAGTAGTAATAGTCCAAAACTATAAACAAACCAAATGCCAATCAACAGAAGAATGGATAAATTGTGGTATAATTATACAATGAATATTATTCTACAGTGAAAACAATAAACTACTGCTATACATACATGATTCCTATAGACATTATGTTGAACAAAAGAAACTAAGCACAAAAAGGTACATATCATGTGAGTCCAGTTGTTTGGTGGTCAAGATCAGTTAAAAAGCAACCTATGGTAACAGAGAGATTGGAATACCGATTAGCCTGGATATAGGGATTGGGGGAGTATAGAACAGAAAGGTAATGACTGTAAAGGAGCATGAAAGACCCTTTTGAGATTCAGATAATGCTTTTCAGCTGGGTGGCAGTTACATGGGGGTATTAACATATTTAAAATTTTACCATGTAGTATACTTAAGATATGAACATTTTACTCCACATACATTACACAGTTCAATTTACAAAATTGAAATAAAAACAGATTAGAACTAACTAGGTATGTATAATACTTATCAAATAAGCAAAAGCAAACTTATAGAGCATTTCTGCTAGAAACAGAATACAACCTGTAAAAATTTATAAACAAATTATCAATAAAATGACCTCGACTCTACCTTCTGTCTAGTCTGAAAGACACAGAGCTTACTCTGAGGATATTAGGTCTCTAGACACTCATCTAGAAATAGCTTCAACTTATCTCTGAAAAAAAGCCTATTTTTATGAAGACAATATTATGAAGATGTCAATTTTCCCAAAGTTAATACAAACATTTAATAAGATATCAGAAAATACACTGATGTTTTAAACTAGATTAGTTGATTCTTTAGTTTATGTGTAAAAAAAAAATAGCCAAATATCATAATAAAAGACAACAGCAACAAGGGGTGTGTGTATATGCATGACATGGTGTGGTGGGGAGGGGCAGGGAGTACGAGGAGGAATAGCATCAAGAGATTTATCCCAAGTATGATGCTGGCACATAAATAGATATATTAATGCGACAGAATAGTATTTCCAGGAAAAGTCCTAACAGTCCTATTATATGTTTGAAAATTTAGTTTATAATAAAGATAATATGTTGAATACATGAGGAGAAATATTGAAATTTTTAATAAATAGCACTGAGACAAATGAGTGAGAGAAAGAATAAAGTTAAATCTAAACTATGCCTTCAACCAAATACTATATACCAAAGATTTAAATATTTTTAAAAAATGAAACTAAAAGAAGAAACCATAGGAAAATTCTTTTATAACCCTGGAATTAAGAAGGCCTAACTAAATATGACACAAAACCCAAAGACTACAAAATAAGTTAGATTACATTAATGAAATATTATATAGCTGCATAAAATAAATAATGCTTTATAAAGGAATATCAAGTTTGCCACTTTTCTACTGGGTATGTATCTGAAGTCCACAGGGCTCACCTCAGATTGTATAACATAAGAAAGCAATCTGGGCACTAACCAAGACAAGTCTTGAAAGTACTGGCTCAACTATAAAAAGTCCTGATTAAAACAAATGATATGGGAAGGGAATTCTAATGTTCCCATGACCTTGATTCCTAAACCAACATCTAAAAAGCTAGAGATATTTGTGTTCAAAAAAACTCAGACATAAACAAACAAATACTCCTCTGTATTAATTCTAATTAGACCATATATTTAATGAATTGTCTTTATCCATTATAGATTACAATTCCATAGTTATATGTCTTATTTTATATCTTAAACTACTTTAAATTTTTGGAAACAAGTACACATTTAAGTCAATAAATTCATATCTAAAAATTTCTCTCCAATTTGTTGTTCTAAATGCAGTTAAAATGAAAAACTCTGATATAAAATATTTAATCTATCAATGATTAACTTATTAAATACAAAAATCAATCTTTCCTTTTAAGTATTTTTTAGAAAAGATTCCTCTTCAGGCTAATCTGACTAAAAAAAATTGAAAACACCACCAATGCCCAACAAGAAGGAACTAACTACAATAAATCAAGTAATAAAATGTTATGTAACCATTAGATATAATAGCCATAAAGGCTGGGTTAATGTATGGAAAATACTTTTATATTAAGCAAAATTTTATGTGTAGTATAAATTCAGGCTTATATGTAATATAAAGTATACATATACAAAACATGTAATGTATATACAATGTATACATGGAGAAATGTGAAGAAAAACTGGCAAAACATTAATTATGGTTTCGCTCTGGGTGATGTGATTATATGCAATGTTAATTTTGTATTTTTTCTTCTTGTAAATTTCCTGCAATGGGCATGATTATCTTCAAAATTAGAAAATAAAAACTTTAAAAATTGTAAATGAACACAATTTCACCAAAGGCAGAAAAACAACATATATTTTAGAGGAATTGTGATATGTTAAAGTATGTAGTTTCAATTAATAAAATTGAGATTTTATTAATGCATGAAAAATACAAGAATACCCAGCTCAACCCTCCAAAACCACCAATGGAAAATGTATACCAAACACATACAATTTATTTCTGAAGCTGTCCGTTCAGCTCTGGCATTCCTGTTTGTAGATCTAATGGTATGACGAATGATTGCATGGGGCTGCAAATATAAGCATAATATACACACTTTAAAAATTTTTAATGATAAAGTTAAAAGGTCAAACTTTTAACTTTTAATTAAGTGATCACTTATTGACAAATATGATTATTTACGAATAAATTATAGGACAAACATAAAACAAACACAATGAACTCTAAAGCACTTTAAAAGTTTATTCACTTATTACATGTTTATACTATGTAAAATACTAAAGGGATTCAGAGAAAATCAGACACAAATCTTGTCCTTAGAGTTTATAGTCTAGGAAGATAAGACATATAAACATTTACAAAAAGAAAATGTAAGTGCTATTTCTTAAGAAAATAAATAGGTTACTATTAAAGCCCACAAAAAGAAGAAATGACTTCCATACTGAACTAAAGGAGTACAGAAGTTCTGCATGAAAGAGCTGTAATCTGATCTGAGACCTCCTACAAGAAGGCACTGGATATGCAGCAATGTGGGAGAAGCATTAGGCCACAGAAAGAGTATGAACCAAGTGACACAAGAAAGAAAAGGAAACTGCAGTGTTTACAGGGGCTAGGGGCTGATTATTATTTGGTTGCAGTGAAGATCAGGTTAAGAGATGACAAAGCTGGAAAGACACACTGGGGTAAGCCAGATTTATAAAAGGATCTGAATGACAGGTGAGGGCTCTCAACCTTATTTTCTTAGCAAAAGGATTTTTTAAAAAGATTTTATAGAAGGGAGTGGCATCATCAAAATCAGCTTTAAGGATAATCCAATAAGTGTGTAAGAAAGTATGGAGGGGAGAAACGTTGGATACAAGATTAGGAATATTGTAGCAAGGCCAATAAAAAACTTACTACTTCTATCTTCTTGCATAAACTGTTGCTCCATTGAAGCTATGCCTACAACTCAACCCCTATCTACCAAATTTCTGACAACTCATTCCTATTCATTCATGGCTCTTAAAGTGGTTTGTATATTTTTGGTTTTTTTTCCCATTCTGCTTCAAGACGAAGAAGACCTATAGTCTAACCAAGAGATTTCAAAAGCTGAGGTGAATCCATGGTTCTGAATTGAACATCCCTGTGTACTTCAATGCACTCTTCACTCCTGACATCACAACTGGGCCCTGGCATGAGTTCTGATGCATGAATTGCCAATATACTCGAAATCTCTGATCCTTTAAGCTTACTCTCTAACTTACTCTCATTAAACTTGTTTAATGTACCCACTGGAATATCAAGGTCATTGATCCACAACTCTCTCAATATCTATCAGCATCTTGCCTATCTTTACTTGTCTCCCTATTCAGTTTATATCTGATAATCCCAAATTTCTAGCAATCTCTTGACAATATTCTAAATTCCCTTTGGTCTTCAATATATGACAGAGCAAAAGGCCAACCCTGGATGAACTCTACTAGTGATCTTTGTGTTTCCATCTGGGATATCACAAACACTGCTGGGGGAAAATCTCATAGAACACTAAAAACCCATCTTATTTGAGTCTTCAACTTTGCCCATACACACTTGTCTAGTCATTTAACCAACCCACCACCCATTCTCCTCAGTCACACTTTTACACCTTCTCTACACTCTTCAAACCTACCTATTTTCCTTAATACTTTCCTTGTCACTTACTTCAGAGAAAATAGAAATCACTAGTTATACTACCAGTCAACCTCTCTAAGGCAAGAGAAATGTTTCCTTATCTAAGATTCAGTCCTTCATCATATTCTTGATCCAAGCCTCTGCTTCCTTACTGGAGGCTTTGACTATTCATCTTGCTTTTGTTGCATCTTTACTCTTTCTCAGATTCTTTCATAAGCATTTAATAATGTTCAAAAAGCCCCCCACAACACAACTGATCAGTAAATCTAGCCCTCTCCAACTCATTATCCTCCAGCTACTGCTTTAACTCATTCCTTCATTTCACTCATTCCTAAACCTTATAAATTACTATACTTACCTTTCAAGATTCTCCAAGCTAGATACCTTCCATTATTTGCAAATTATACTGTTAAAGTGATCAAACACTACATCTAAACCCAAAGACTACCTTAATCTAACTTCTAGGCACATGATCATTGAAACTCTCCTTCTTTCAGTGTTCCTTATCAATCTGTTTTAAAAAAATTTATAAATTTTTAAAATTTATAAATGACAGCGGAATACATTACAATTCATATTACATATATAGAGCACATTTTTTCATATCTCTGGTTGTAAACAAAGTATATTCGTGTCTTCATACGTGTACTTTGAATAATGATGACCATCACATTCCACCATCATTTCTAGCCCCATGCCCCCTCGCTTCCCCTCCCACCCCTCTGCCCTATCTAGAGTTCATCTATTCCTCCCATGTTCCCCCTCCTTACCCCACTATGAATCAGCCTCCTATATCAGAGAAAACATTCAGCATTTGGTGTTTTGGGATCGGCTAACTTCACTTAGCATTATCTCCTCCAACTCCATCCATTTACCTGCAAATGCTATGATTTTATTCTCTTTTAGAGCTGAGTGATATTCCATTGTGTATAAATGCCACATTTTTTTTATCCATGCATCTACTGAAGGGCACCTGGGTTGGTTCCATAGTTTAGCTATTGTGAATTGTACTGCAATAAACATTGATGTGGCTGTGTCCCTGTAGTATGCTGTTTTTAAGTCCTTTGGGTATAGATTGAGGAGAGGGATTGGGTCAAATGGTGGTTCCATACCCAGTTTTCCAAGCAATCTCCATACTGCTTTCCATATCGGCGGCAGCAATTTGTAGTTCCATCAGCAGTGTAGGAGTGCACACTTTGCCCCACATCCTCACCAACACTTACTGTTGTTTGTATTCATAATAGCTGCCATTCTGACTGGAGTGAGATGACATCTTAGAGTAGTTTTGATTTGCATTTCTCTAATTGCTAGCAATGATGAACATTTTTTCATATATTTGTTGACTGATTGTATATCATCTTCTGAGAAGTGCCTGTTCAGGGCCTTGGCCCATGTACTGATTGGGTTATTTGTTTTCTTGGTGCTTAGCTTTTTGAGTTCTTTATATACCCTAGAGATTAGTGCTCTATCTGACGTGTGAGGGGTAAAGATTTGCTCTCAAGATGCAGGCTCTCTATTCACTTCACAAATTGTTTCTTTTGCTGAGAAGAAACTTTTTAGTTTGAATCCATCCCATTTATTGATTCTTGATTTTAATTCTTGCACCAAAGGAGTCTTATTAAGGAAGTCGGGGCCTAATCCCACATGATGAAGATTAGGGCCTACTTTTTCTTCTATTAGACGCAGGGTCTCTGGTTTTTTCCTAGGTCCTTGACCCATTTTGAGTTTTGTGAATGGTGAGAGATATGGGTTTAATTTCATTTGGTTGCATATGGATTTCCAGTTTACCCGGCACCATTTGTTGAAGAGGCTATCTTTTCTCCAATACATGTTTTTGGCACCTTTGCCTAATATAAGATAATTGTAATTTTGTGGGTTAGTCTCTGTGTCCTCTATTCTGTACCATTGGTGTGCCAGTCTGTTTTGGTGCCAATACCATGCTGTTTTTGTTACTATTGCTCTATAGTATAGTTTATGGTCTGGTATAGTGATGCTACCCTGCTTCACTCCTCCTGCTAAGGATTGCTTTGGCTATTCTGGGTCTCTAATTTTTCCAGACGAATTTCATGACTGCTTTTTCTATTTCTATGAGAAATGCCATTGGGATTTTGATCAGAATTGCATTAAACCTGTACAGTGTTTTTGGTAGTATGGTCTATTTGACAATATTAATTCTGCCTATCCAAGAGCAAGCCAGATCTTTCCATTTTCTAAGGTCTTCTTTAATTTCGTTGTTTAGAGTTCTGTAGTTTTCATTGTATAGATCTTTCACCTCTTTAGTTGATTCTCAAGTATTTTTTTTTGAGGCTATTGTAAATGGGGTAGTTTTCCTCGTTTCTCTTTCTGAGGATTTGTCACTGATATACAGAAAGAAATGCCTTTGATTTATGGGTGCTGGTTTTATATCCTGCTACTTTGGTAAATTCATTTACTAGTTCTATAAGTTTGCTGATAGAATTTTTTGAGTCTTCTAGGTATAGAATCATATCATAAGCAAACAGTGCTAATTTGATTTCTTCTTTTTCTATCTGTATCCCTTGAATTTCTTTCATCTATCTAATTGCTCTGGCCAGTGTTTCAAGAACTATGTTGAACAGAACTGGTGAAAGAGGGCATCTGTGTCTTCTTCCAGTTTTTAGAGGGAATGCCTTCAATTTTTCTCCATTACAATGATGTTGGCTTAGCATAGATAGCCTTTATGATGTTGAGATATATTCCTGTTATCCCTAATTTTTCTAGTGTTTTGGACATTTAGAGGTGCTGTATTATGTCAAATGCTTTTTCTGCATCTACTGAGATATCATATGATTCTTATCTTTAAGTCTATTGATGTGATGAATTACATTTATTGATTTCCATATGCTGAACTACCCTTGTATCTCTGGGATGAATCCCACTTGATTGTGGTGCACTATATTTTTGATACGTTTTTATATCCGATTTGCCAGAATTTTATTGACAATTTTTGCATTTATGTTCATTAGAGATATTGGTCTGAAGTTTTCTTTTTTTGATGCATCTTTGCCTGGTTTTGGAATCAGGGTGATGTTGGCCTCATAGAATGAGTTTGGAAGTGCTGCCTCTTTTTCTATTTCCTGAAATAAATTGAAGAATATTGGTATTAGTTCTTCTTTAAAGGTCTTGTAGAACTTGGCTGTGTATCCATCTGGTCCTGGGCTTTTCTTGGGTGGTAGGCTTCTGATGGTGTCTTCTATTTCACTGCTTGAAATTGATCTGTTTAAACTGTGTATATGATCCTAATTCCATTTGGGCAAATCATATGACTCTAGAAATTTGTAGATGCCTTCAATATTTTCTATTTTATTGGAGTACAAATTTTCAAAATAATTTCTAATTATATTCTGTATTTCTGTAGTGTCTGTTGTGATATTTCCTTTTTTAATCACAGATGGTAGTAAT